AGGAAGGGTTAAGTGAGATAGGTAATAGGAAGACAGGGTAGCGTCAGTGTTTTTTAACATAAAGCAATATGTTGTAGCGTGAAGAACTGGATTTCCTGGACTAAGTGTGGATACTCTATTTTTGAGCTGAGCCCCTGTAGGTCTGTCCCTGACCCTGAATTCTGTTTTGCCCAGGTCCAGCACATGTCTACCCTCTCTACCAAATCTTTCTCTGTCAAAACACTCTCCCTGCTTCCCTCCTAGCCAAGCCAGCTCCTCCTTACTCAGCATGGCCTGGCCCCAGGGACCCTTCTTTGGGGAAGCCTCCTCTAGGCTCCTACCTTGCCTTGTAGGCTCAGCTGCTCCCGGTGTACTCTCTGCTACAGGCACCTTTGGTGTTTCTCATGTGTTTTCATCACCACTCAAGTCTTGGGGTCCTTATCAGGGCATAGGGATCCCCATTCTCCTTTCCACTCCTTCCCTGCTGACCAAGTTGGGAGTAGACGATGCCCCAGGCAGTCAGAATCAGTGCTAGAAGGCATGCGAGATGTCTGTACTTTCTTTTATTTATTTATTTTTAGGGCTTAGTTAATTGAATAAATTGGCTAATGAGCAAAGGAAATTAATTGCAGTTTTGAAATGTGACCGTGGCTTTGTGTTGTTCTGACTGTGCCAGCAGCCTGTCACTGCTACTGTGCCTCTGTTCAGGAGCTCAGAAGCTTGGGGCTCCGATGTTAGATGTTCTCAGGAGCCACAAACCTGGGGCCTACGTCCAGGAAGATTGTCAGGGACTGTGCATCTCTTTAGGGCAGCGTTGTTGGAGCTTTAGTTAAGGCTGAGGCTGAGAATCCTGGGACAGATGCTCCCTGAATGCTGCTGGCTATCTGTTGCTGTGGCCTGATTCGAGCTGGAACATACAGTGTGGGCCCCTGCAGCATCCTCAGCTCTTGTTGGGGAGAAACCGTGTCTTGACTTCTGACTGGTGATTGGAGTGATAAGGTACACTGTCTCTCATGCCAGCTGGTCTCCTCTTGGTCTCTTGGAGTTCCCTTTCAATTTTTGGACTCTGTACTTTGTGAATCTTCCTTGGCCAGTTCCCCATGTCTTTCTGAGAGTACCACCCCAACCCTCACCATCCTCTTGGGCTGGATGTGCTACTGATGGCCTATTGCACAAGCCCTGACATGGTATATTCACTGGCCTGCATGAGTCTACCTGGTATCTGCTCGTTGGCATTTTGAGAGTAGGGCAACCAGGTCCTGGGTGGGTGTTGGTGAGGTCAGTGTTGGGTGATGGAGACATTTACTGGTAGCACCTGGCCAAAAATCTCTTCCCATGGCAGCCCTAGAGCATCATCAGGGCATTTCCCTTTGACCACTAAGTCAGCTGGGGTTCCCAAGCACCTGGCTGAGTCCCCTTGTTCTTTCCTTGCCCATGAAAGTCAGTTGTATATATCAGTGTGACTGTGCCAGTATGCCCCATTGGCCAAGCATATGTCTTGGTGTTGCTGTGTTTTCAGACGTGGTGGACACTGTAGTCAGCAACCATAGCACAGCTGACCCTCTACAGTGTTTAGGTACTTGGAATCATGGAGGGAGGAGATGGGATTGGCCTCAGGGCCTTGTGTGGTTCAGGAGCCTGCTGAATGGGGGATGAGATAGTAAGCATCTATAAGTAAGGCCTACAGCAGGTCACTGGGCCCATGTGGCCAGGTGGGCAACCCCTGATAGTGCAAGATGGGCATGTATTGATCACTGATATGTGCCAAGCTCCATCAATGAACTGCTTGAGTTGTTGACACTTTCCTGATGGGCTAGTTATGCTTTGGGAATGTGGGACCTGGACCTTGAGGGTCTGAGACTGCCAGGCTGATGGTCCTAGGCTTTTCACCCAGATAGCAGGCCTTTGGACTGTGGACTGTGTGCTGTTTCCTCTCAGGATATGGAGCCCAGATTTGAGGGTTTATGATTTTCCTGCCTCTACCTCCAGGGTGCTGGAATAATAGGTATGCATCACCATGCCTGGCTTATGCTCTGCTGGGTACTGAACCCAGGGACTTGTATATGTTAGGCAAGCGCTCTGCCAACCAAACAGGATACCTAGCTTCTTGTTTTCTGGCTTATGTCTCATTCATTGTGGTTTGTCTGAAGGGGAGGGGCCGGGGCCAGGTAGAAACTGACCACAGTACCATTATGGTGAGTGGTGAGCATGGAGCAAGATCTACCCTGACCCTCAGCCACTTACAGCCTAGAAAAGTCGGAGGTCTTTAATCTGCAGGAGCAGAAACCAAATGCAGCATCTTTAGAAATGGTCTTCACTGGCAGCTCCAGGGGTTCTGGCAGAGCTGGATGTGAGTGCTCATCTGCCTGTTGCTGGTTTTCTCTGGGACTTAACTTACAGACTGATTTCCTAGGCTAAAGCCATTTTCCAGATGGAAAGGGACACCTCTGTCCTGGTGGTCTGGGCAAAAATTCTGGACTGATACTTCTGGCATCGGCTGGCCAGGCTTTACCCATGAACACCCCTGAACCCTGGACTAGAAAGGACAGTTAGGAGGTAGAGTATATCCGTGCTGTACAGGAGAGATGGCAAGTACATGCTCCCCACAATGACAAGTGGTTATGTTTGTGCTTGCAGTGATCCCCAAGAAGGCATGTGACAAGGGGTATGTCTGTGAGGACGACCCTGCAGGTGGTCATGGCAGGTAGGGAAGTGAACTGTGAAGAGGTGAGAATGAAACCTGGTTCAGATTGGCTTTGTCAACCTGGATCAAATCTTCTAGACTCTAGAATCTAGAGAGTCTGATGCCAGGGGAGTTTATTGTCAGCATATTTTTTTTTTTTTAAAGAGACTTATTTATTTATTTGCTTATTTATTATGTATACAGTGTTCTGCCTACATGCCAGAAGAGGGCACCAGATCTCATTACAGGCGGTTGTGAGCTACCATGTGGTTGCTGACTCAGGACCTCTGGAAGAGCAGCCAGTGCTCTTAACCTCTGAGCCCTCTCTCCAGCCCCATATTGTCAACATATTAAAACACAATAGAATTTGGGGGAAAAGTTTCCAGGTGTAATATAATCCCTGGTGCACAAGGAAGAATAATTACATTGAAACTCAACTCAGGGTACATGTCATTTCTTCCAAGAAGATGTACTCTAGAGATAGACTACCTGTATTAGCTTAAGGGCCTAAGGAAGGATCTGACTTGGTCATACAGATAGCATAGAGGTCATTTGGGCTTTTAGACATCTCTGGTCCTGGTTGTGAGAGCTTGATATGGCCTGGCCCAACAAATAATGCAGATCACCAGGCTGTTAATCACCTTTAATTCCTAGCTTTCTGGATGGAAGGACAGATTTTAAGTCCATTCCTTTGAGAGGACAATTCTGTGTGCTTAACATTTTTGGTTTTCCTGGAGATCTGTTTGCAAGGGCCTTTGGGCTGTGCTCCCAACCTGTCTGGGCTGGAGGTGACTACCCAAGGGGGCATGTTCTCATGGACAGCACCATGGGCCTGCAGTAGAGGATGTCAAAGAATGGCAAGAGGGAAGTAGTGAACGAACAGGTGGGGACAGTGGCCAACCCCACACATTAGGCCGAGAGGGAGATTTATGTGGAAGGAACCTGGCCCCTTGGACTCATCAGCTATCCAAAGGTGGAGGCCATGGTGAAAGGAGGGCTCTAAGGCCCAACAGGAGCACGGTAGCTCTGTTGCTATAGTCATCATCATTATTATCATTGTGTGCTGGGCATGTGGATGGATGCCTGGCTTTTGAAGGTAGCAGGTGGAAACAGGCACAAGAAACTTTTTGAGCAAGAGCTCTTGTGGTTCAGATAGATGTGAAGTTTTTCTTAGTGCCTTGTGGCCAAGCATGTTCCATGCACGGGACCCAATGACTACATGTTCGATGTGCCTGTTTTGTGCGACAGATTGTCATCTGCAGAAAAATGTTAATATTACTTGAGCTGCCTAAGAAGTGGGCTCCTGACACGCACAAATCCCATGCACACCTGTGAGGCTCATTTGTGTTGGAGTTCGCATTTTCTGTTTAAATTTTTTTATTATAGTTCTCTCTTTCTCTCTCCCTCTCTCCTCCCCCCACGCCCCCCCCCACCCATGGTGCACATGTGGAGATCAGAAGACAATTTGTGGGAGTTAGTTTCCTCCTTCTACCATGTAGGTCTAGGGGATGAAACTCAGGTCCCAAGGCTTGGCAGCAAGCGTCTTTACCTTCTGAGCCATCTCACTGGCCCTCGAGTCTGCCTCTTGTGATTTAACTGCAGCCATTCTAGTCTCCCAGGATGAGATGTGGGTGTGGTGGTCCTCAGCAGGCAGTGTTCTTGCTATGCTGTCTATCATGTGTTTAGGTCATTTGGTGTGCCCTTGTCAAAGGCCACAACCTGGGTTCCTGTGACAAGACTATGGCACTTGTCCTCTGGGGTAGGGTAAAGGAGAAGGTATACAGCTTGTCAGAGGATGCACATAGCCGTGAAAGAGGCAGAGATCTTTCAGGAGAATTTTGGTAGGTCAGGAGGGGTCAGGTAGTAAAGGAGAGAGGAATAATTACAGCAGAAAGCATAGGCTGGCGAGCAGGAGTCACTGCAACTTAAGGAGAAGTGGAGAAACTATGGCAGTTAGGGAAGGTTAGAAAGATGATCTGAAGTTCTTGTTCAGCCCCAGACCTAGTTGGAAGAGACATTTTCTTCCTCTGAACCTAGGGAGGAAGTGTTGCATTCCATGAAAAACTATGAACGTCTGCCTTCTGTGGGGCAGGCAGTGTGAAGTTGGTTCTCTTTATTGCTTTTGCATTAGCTGAGGCTGTCAGGACCCAAACCAGATACACAAGGGTAGGGAGGGGCCTAGTCAGCAATCAGTGTGATTATGGAGTCTTGGGTAGTAGGAAATGGGGTGTGTTCTCACTGCTGCTCTCCAAGGGCCCTCCAGTGTGTGCCAGCTGGTAGTCACAGACTGCACTGATGACCGCTAGCCCACTGACTGCATGCCTCTCACCTCCTGCAGGTTTCTCTTGGTCTTCTCCTGCCTTGTGCTTTCCGTATTTTCCACCATCAAGGAGTACGAGAAGAGCTCGGAGGGGGCCCTCTACATCTTGGTAAGCACCACACGTGGGCAGGGCATGGGGGAGAGGCCGGGAGGCTGGGAAAGAGCCCTGGTTAATCCTGTGGTGAGACCTCTGCAGTAGTCTACCTCTCAACCCCTGGACCCCTTCAGTTCTGTCCCTAACCCTGATTGTTTGAATAAGTCAGGCCTTCTGTATCCAGGGTCTCCCCCAGAGTGGAATGCTTTCTTGCATGCACAGCCACTGTTGCTCCTGGCATTGTTGTGTAGCCCTCAAGCCCCTTCCCAGCCTCCCAGTCCCTAGTAGAAGTGACATTACATCAAGCAGCTCTTACCACCTCTCCTTTCCACCCTGCTCTTTGGAGTCTAAGTACACAGGTGCCTCCACTGGAAGTGTGTGGTGCTCCACAAAAGATGTGGGTGAAGGGGTGGGAGGCCGTGATGCTCACTCACATAAACCCTGTGATGGGGCAGGGGGTGGGCGTCATGGAAACAGTACTGTAATTTCTCTGTTGCCCTTGGTAACGGAGGTGGCCCTTCAAGGAGAATGATCCCACTAGAATCCTCTTCCACCCACTTTGCCCCACTGCCCCGGAGCTGCCTCAATTCTAGAGGAACCTGCTCAACCTTTGCTGTGGCTGGGAACTCTCGCAGTTCTGGTGTTAGTGTGCCCACCCAGCAGACTAACACCAGAGCCTCCTGTTCCAGCTCAAACAGGTCCGATCTAGCTCAGAAGGGAGGCAAGAAGGGTAGTTCCTCTGGTGGTCTGTAGGCCGGGACTTGCTGATAGCAGTGAGTCCCTGGGAGATCTGTATCTAGAAGGGATTCAGTGCTGGCTGACATGAGCTGGGGCCCTGTGGGCTAAGCCTGCAGCTCTAATTTCTAGCCTTTGAGCCATGGACTTTATCCATCTCTGTCCTGAGACTGCCCATGTAGTATACAGGCAGCCCTCCTAAGGCCTGGTGGTATCCTCATCTGTGTTCCTCCCACCTCCCAGGAAATCGTGACCATCGTGGTGTTTGGCGTTGAGTACTTTGTGAGGATCTGGGCTGCAGGCTGCTGCTGCCGGTATCGAGGCTGGAGGGGCAGGCTCAAGTTTGCCAGGAAGCCGTTCTGTGTGATTGGTGAGGCCTGGTCAACACGGCCATCAGAGTTGGGCCTGGGGCAGGAGTTGCTTATGTCTTGACCACAGTGGGCTGAGTGAGAGGGTAGGGCCTTTTGGAAGTTTCTTCTTACCACTGACTTGGAGTTGGTACCTATGGCTGATAGAGCCTAGATGTTGGGAGGGACAAAGTGCTGGGCAGTCTGCTCTGGACACCACAGATAGGGAGGGTGGGCACTGGAAACCACCCTTCCCAGGGCCCTACATGACCTTGCATGTCTATGGGGCCATTTATCCCTCCTTTGGGGGCCCTGGGGAGGAGACCCTGTGAGCTGTGCCTGTCTCCTACAGACATCATGGTGCTGATTGCCTCCATTGCTGTGCTGGCTGCTGGATCCCAGGGAAATGTCTTTGCCACATCTGCACTTCGGAGCCTGCGGTTCCTGCAAATCCTACGGATGATCCGTATGGACCGGAGGGGCGGTACCTGGAAGCTCCTGGGATCGGTGGTGTATGCTCACAGCAAGGTGAGCCCTGGCCCAGCCCTGGGCATGCTGGTTATCCTGGCTCCACAGTCCCTGGATGCTCTAAGCTGGATGTTAGCCAGGGACCAGACAAGATATGAATGAACCTCCCCCTTTCTTCCTCACCTGTCCCCAGAAGCTGTTTTCTGTTCCCAGTCTGAGCAGTCCCGCCTGTAGCTGGGCATTTCCTTTCCTGGTTCTGAGGGCCTGGATCGATACTCTGCCTGAATCACCTGCCTAGGGGTTGTTTAAGCTGTGGCTTGTGGTGGCTGCTGACCAGGGTACTCATGGGGTGGCTGTGGGTACACCATCTATGTTGAAGGAGTCCTCAGTGGCCAAGACCTGATTTCTGCCAGGTTGTACTATGGGGTCTCTGGGCACATGATGGGCTCACTGAGTCAAACACTCTCTATCCTGCCCGGGCCCCTTTTCTTTGGTTGGCCATGGTGGTGTGGGGCAGGCACTGGGTCCTGGGGAAATTGAGCTCCCTGAGGCCTGGTCTCTCTCCTTCCCTCCATTGCACCTTCAGTGTTGGGAACTGAGTATATACCTGTTGAGACCTGCACCCCCTATTGGGGATAGCTCCACAGTATCCAAACAGTGCTGAAACCAGAGTTCCTGGCTTGGGTATGTGCTCCTCAGCCATGGGCAGAACGTTTACTGAGCTGTTGGATGCTCTGCTCCCAGGTCTAAAATAGTCAGTTGAAAGAGTTGTGCTGTACAGCCAGCAATCACGCTTGAATGCTCAGGACAAGCCCTGTTGCCAACCCTGACCAGTATCTACTCTAGTTGTACCTTGTTAGCATCACGAGGGGATCCCATCCTTCAAAGCCCTTGAGATTCACAGTTCAGAGCAGGGCTCCCACGCTTGACACTGTCCAGGCTGGCCTGAGTGGGACAATGATATGGTCTCTTGCCTTCACAGGAGCTGGTGACTGCCTGGTACATCGGCTTCCTCTGCCTCATCCTGGCCTCATTTCTGGTGTACTTGGCAGAGAAGGGTGAGAACGACCACTTTGACACCTATGCAGATGCACTCTGGTGGGGCCTGGTAAGTCCTGGTCATTGGTCATTTCCTCCTCCACATCCTGTTGGTACTGCTGTCCTGAGGACCTGTAGGAGAAACCTGACAGCCCTGAGGCTAACCTGGGTGGGCATGTCTCTCGGTGGCCACCTGGTGGCTGGCTATAGACATAACAGCATATGGAGATGACAGCTGAGGTTGATGTGGTTATTGTGTTGGTAGATGTGATAGGGGACAGAATGGGTTCCTTTCTCCCCATCACCTTCCTGCAACCCCCACTTGGCACTGGACTGTGGAGGAGAAAGATTGGGGGTGGAGGAATATTAGGGTTCTGAGAGTAGTGACCAGGATAGGTCCATCCTGGGGCTCCCTAGCTCAGGAGTATGAATGACCCTCACAACTTTGGAGCAGTGGGAGGGTGGGGGCAGCATTGTTGTCATAGCCTTTCATTCCCAAGGCTAATCACCACCATCCCAGGCCACTTGCTTTTGGCCTCCAACCTCCAGTCAGTCCTGCCTTTCACTGTGAGGGACAAGGGAGAGGACAAAGGGAAGAGGTTCAGAGGCGTGGGAATTTCAGTTTGGATCTCCAGCACCCATGTAAAAGTGGCATGACCACACACACACACAGACATACACACACACACACACACACACACACACACACACACACACACATACACACACACACACACACTCGCGCACACACACACAGACATACACACACAGACGCACATACACACATTCGTGCACACACACTGCAAATGGAAACCACAGGCCCTGATTCTCTGGGGCTTTTTTTTAGGTGGTCAGCAGCCTGTTGACAGTGGCCCTGAGTCCTCCAAGACTTGCTGCTGCCCCAATGCTAGAGCCTTATCTGGCCTTTGTGCCCAAGGCTCCCCATGCTTGACTGCCTAGGATACCCCAGAAGTCCTCTGTCATTGCCCCTTTTCAGAAGGGCCTCTTAGACACCATTGAACTTCTGCTTGGAGCGGGTATGGATGACAAGCTTCCTAGGCCCCTGTTTTCTGAAGACCACCCTAGTCCTGAGACCCACCTGAGATAGAAATCAGTTTCTTCTAGTCCCTCCGCCCCCAATGCTCTGGACTCCTTGAAGGCTCAGGGCAGAGGCTGATGTCACCTAAAAAGCCATGAGGTAGTGATCTGGACAGGTGCTGTGCTTGCAGTCACTGGGAGAGGATCGTACAACTTCCCCTGGGATGAAACACAGGGCAGTTTATTAATGATCTTACTGATGGCCACAGGCCTGGAGTCCTGTGTCCTCTTGGGAAGAGGCAGGGCTGTTGGGAGTGGAGTGAATTAAGACTGAGAGGTACGGGGCAATGCAGAGTTGTGATAGGCACGGAGCAGAAGGAGTCAGCTTGGCGCCCAGGGGACCTGAGAGTGGTACAGCCCATTCTCTTCAGAATTTTCTTGGACCTCGGGCCTCCTTCTCTTTCAGAACTGAAGCAAACATTTTATCTTTATTGTTTCAAAGTAATCCTTGGATTTTAAAATATCTACTGGTTCCTAAAATGCAGCCCCCTCACTACTACCCATTTGTCTTCTTGGCCACCTCCTACCTGCTGCCACGGGCCTCCTCCCGTCCTGGGCCAGGTCTTCTCCTAGACTGCCCCCCCCATCATCCCTGAACCCTACTCTGCTTGGCCTCTGCTGACTCCTTACCCTCTGTGGACCCTGGCATCCTTGCACTTCCTTGCTCTTATCCCTGACTTGGTGGGCACACACCAGTTCACTGGTGCCCCCTACTTGTGAGCACAGAGCAGGGCCTAGATATGTCAGCAACTCACCTGGGTGGAAGCTGCTGTCCTTGCTTGGTGCCAGTGTGTACTGTGTGGTACACCAATCCCAAGTGTTAACTAGGGGAGCCTTGGGGATGAAGAGAGATTGGGGTTTGGTGGGATTGAAGGATAAAGGACAGCCTATGCTGATCCTGGCCTTGCTTTGCCCTAGTATGGGTGCTGTAACAAGGGTGCCCCTCTTGTCTGTCCAGCCCAAGTCTGAGTGCCCATCAGTGTCCAGCTGCCCCCAAAGATGCAGGCAAACGACTTGGGTGAGCTTCCCAAGACTGAGCAGGGACATCTGGCCTGGGATTATAGGCCTCAGGTAGGCCATTGCCAGCCTGCCCAAGTGACCAGCGCCCCCTGCTCCTCAGATCACCCTGACAACCATTGGCTACGGGGACAAGTACCCTCAGACCTGGAATGGGAGACTGTTGGCAGCGACGTTTACCCTCATTGGTGTCTCGTTCTTCGCTCTTCCTGCAGTGAGTCCTGTACCCCTTCCTGCCCCAGGGATGTTAGGGGGTGTCTCAGAGGCTCCCTGCAAGACTTGACCACAGGCCACCTGTGAACTGTGAGGATCTTGGACAGGAGTAGGTCCCTGTAGGGTTCACAGTCACTAGAGAGGCCCCATACCAGACCAGAGTGAGGCTGCCCTAATTTAGATGCCTGTAGCCTTAGTAGGCAGACTTCTAGTATCTTCAGATTGGGCCTTTTGACATAGCTCTGTTGACTTCTATGGTTATCCCATCTGAATGACCCTAAACAGTGGGGTCCTCATTCACCCTATACAGAATAGGATGGGTGTACCTACTGCTGCACTGGGGATGGCAGAGGGCAGCTGGCTGCAGCTGCCTTGTGAACAGAGCAGCTTAGAAGGGCTCCTCTTTGGGATCAGTAAGCACTGCCTTCTGCTAGCCAGAGATTCCCCCAGCCTGGTATCTAGGTGATGAAGTACCAGGGAATTCCAAGAATGTAGGAAGGTAGCACCTATGAAACTCAAGCATTGTAGGCAAGGGTAAGGAGGGGCATGGTCCCGGGATGTGGTCTGACCTCAGTGACTTGCAGGGCATTTTGGGATCTGGCTTTGCTTTGAAAGTCCAAGAGCAGCATCGGCAAAAGCACTTTGAGAAGCGGCGGAACCCTGCGGCAGGTCTGATCCAGGTGAGCCTTAGTCCCTGCTAGGGACCAACCCCTGTTCTGATTCTACCTTACCTAGAAGGGAGCCCATCAAGATCTTGGCATTGACAGTGGCTGTACCAGGCTTTTCCATGTCTGTGGATAGGCAGGTCATGGCCCATGTTTGGAAGACAAGATTGTGTTGAGCATGAGAACAGTGCAGATACCTGAGGTTACACCCAATGACTCATGGTAGTGATGCTGGGTGGTCCTGCCCCCAGTGGGCACTTGGCTTAGGCCATACTGTCCCAGTAACCATACATATGGTCACCTCCAGTGCTCTGTGAGGTAGGGATCTCATCACATCCATTCTGCAGCTGTGAGACCCACAGCTTAGAGAGGTTGACAGTCTGGCAGCAAGTGGCTCTTGAGACACATCTGTGCCACTTCAACCTAGCTGTTTAACCTGTGGACACTGTGCCTTCCTTCCCTGAGCTTATCCAGCTGCTCTTACCATTTAGGGGCAGGTAGGATGTGGATGCCATCTGAACGTGCATACAAGAAGACATAGATTCCTGCTGGACCCTAGAGCTGGCCAGGATTCCTGCCAGCTGAATCTGGCCCTGTATCTGTCTTTCTTTTTAAAAGATGTGGCCTTCACAGTCTCGACCTTGGGTCCAGTCTCCTTTTGTGTATGTATTACATAGCGTTCACCACAAAACACATGGCTATTGCTTTGTAATTGCAAAAAACAAAGAGCAGAACGCCCATTTGAAAAAGAAAATGACTGAATGTCCACAGGGACAAAAGGTTTAACAGGAGACAGCGTAAACTGAGTATCACCCCCATACACCCTTCTCACAGGCCATTCAACAGCAGCCTGTGAATCTTCTAAAAGTCAGAAGTGCCACCAAAGAGCAACAGCATATGCTGTCCCTGCTTCACTCACAAGTGACAGAAGACACTTGTGGATGAAGTATCCTTATTAGGACAAAGCACTCTCTCTGCTTTGCCTGCACAGTTTTCCCCACTGTGGACTTCAAGATGGTTCCTAGAGCTTCAAGACACCTCCAACCCGTTTATGATACATGGCCACAGGGTGAAGGCACTGTGACAGAGTAGTTGATCAAAAGGTCCTTCCTCTGAGTGAAGCTGACCTTCCTGCATGTTTGTGGGTCAAAGATTTGGTTATCAGTGCCCCCAGAACCCCTGATGTAGGGCAAGGGTAGAAGGACTGGTTTTTCATGAGGCCTATCACCTGGGTATGATTCTGGCTACCAAGCAGAAAAAGGCTTGGAGGGGAGTCTCAGAGGAGGTACCAGGGCCTCCTGTGCCCTCAAAGCATCTCCATTCTGTAGAAGTCAGCCTGTCCAGCCTGGACTCCATGTTGATGTTACTGAAATACTGATGGAGACCAAAGTAAGTCATCTCATGTTCATGGACTAGAAGACTTAATCTCGTTAAAATGTTCTTCCCAAACATTGATATGCAGGTTCAGTGAATTTTTCATAAGTCCAGTGCCCTCCACGCCATTTTGCAAAAACAGAAAAGCCAATCCTAAGTTGTCTGAGGAATTACAGCGGTCTCTGAATATCCAGGAGAGTACTGACACAGGAGAACAAAGTATGGGACTCACACTTTGTGATTTTAAATTTATTACAATGCTGCAGTAATCAAAACAGTGTAGGTCTCACATAAGGACAGTGACACCAGCAGAACAGTGTGTGCATGAGCTAGCCCATGTAGGCTGATTGCAGATGAGAACTCTTTCAATACATGGTATGGGACAACTGGAGACCTGTTTTGCTATTGTTATTGTTGTTGTTGTTTACTTGTTTGTAACAGAGGTCAGCCTCAAATGCATGTGATCCTCTTGTTTCAGCCTCCTAAGTTCTGTACAATAGACATGTGTCATTATGCCCTGTTTGGAGATTTTCTTTTAAAATGATATTTGGCCAGGCTTTGTGGTGCTTACTTGTAATCCTAGAACCCTGGAGGCTGAGGAGAGGAGATCTTGAGTTTGAAGCTAGGCTGGGATATCTAGTGAGGCCTTGCCTTAAATAAAAGAGTTAAAACTATTAAACTCTTTAGAAGTAAGCAAGATTTATTGTTTTTATCTTTTATATATGACACCAAAAGCACAAGTAACAAAAGAAAAATTGGAGAACATCAAAATTAAAAACTTGTGCCTGAAAGGACATTCAAGAGTGAAAAGGCAATCCGTAGAATGGGAGAAAAGTTTGGAAATGAAGTTAATATCCAGAATATATAAAGGACCTCAAAAACTCAATCACAAAAAGATAAACAACCCAGAGGGTTTGGAGGCAAGGGACTTGGAAAAATAGACATTTTTCTAAGAAGAGAAACAATTGGCCATGAGCTTGTGAAAAGATGCTATATTATTAGAAAAATGAAGATAAAATATGAGATGCCGCTTCATACTCACTGGAATGGTTAAAAAATAAAAAATGGAGAGTAAGTGTTGGTGAGGACTTGGTGACATTGGGCCTTCACACTCACTGAGGGGCTGTATGGTGCGGTGACCACTCAGAGAACAGTAATCAGAGCTGGGCTTTCGGGTAGAGGGCCTGTCTCACATGTGCAAGGCCCTGGATTCTACCCTCAGCACCAAAAAAGAAAAAAAAAAACAGAAAAGAAAGTGACACAGAGAATTGCTACCTTACCCACACGTTCACTCCTTTGTTAGCACCCCAAACAAGTGTTCAACCAAAACCCTCTGTGTTCATCACGCTCTGTACATAACAGCCAAAATACGAGATGTGCATTGGTGGATGATCAAAATGTGTGTGACTTATCTGTACAACCGAGTGTTAAATAGTCAGGAAAGGGATGAACCTCAGTGCACACTGAGGTTCAGTTCAGTTTTGAGGGCCTTTTCCTCCGTGCAAGGAACTAACAGGCAGACCCCATAAGCATGAGATTCCATGGATAGGAAATTTCCAAAATAGTCAAATCTGTAGAGACTAAAATACTGCTGCTGCCAGAGCCGGGGAGGAGGTTGGAATGGAAGAGTCTACGTATGGGCATGCCTTTCTAAGGGTAAGAAGCTGTGGATAGATAGTGGCCATGGTCACACGATGCTGTGTGTACTTTAAAGTGGTCAAAATGATGGATTTTATGTTGTGTGGATTATATTGCATATACAAAAAAACAAACAAACATGTATAGGGAATGGAAAGAAGCCTGAGTGAGTGAGAAAGACTGCACCTGGGCCACATTGCCTGTAGGAAGGAGTTACGTCCCAGCCTTACCTCCCTTCCCAGGTCTCATGGGATTGGCATTAGGTCTTGTTTGGACTGGGGAGGGCAATGAAGTCACCTACTTGATGTCAAGAATGATAGAAAGGAAGGAGATCACCAAGGCTCACTGTGAGCCAGAGCCAGAGTATCTCCCATACCCCACCAGCTTCTGTGGGTGTCATACTTGTCCCAGTTAAACTGAGGCTGTGGGGTGAGGACAGGCATGGGGGCTGCAGTTCTGTGTTGGTGAGGTCCCTGGAGAGGGGTAGCCTCAGCCCAGACACAACAATCTCACCTCTTTCCACTACAGTCTGCTTGGAGATTCTATGCTACTAACCTCTCACGCACCGACCTGCACTCCACGTGGCAGTACTACGAGCGCACAGTCACTGTTCCCATGTACAGGTACTCGCCAGGCCTCGCCTCACCACCCTGCATGGTGGTTTGCTTTTTGATTTCCATTTGTTCTTCACCCCATTGATTTTTATTTCTTTTTTTTTTTTCAAGTGTATGTATTTTTCCACAAAGGGTTCTGTGTGGTTTATTTCTCAGTATTGATTTTGTTCTTTGTTTTACAGTGTTGTGGCTTTTATTTCTTTCTCTTGTACCTGTCCTTTGCTTTCCACCCCTCTTTTGGGAACATTGTGTTGTGATCTCCGCTCCAAGCCGTCCCGTGAGATGAGTGACGGCCTTAGTGCTGCAATGCCGGAAGCCTCTAGCAGTCCAAGGCTCAAGAAGAAGGGTAGTGGTGGCTGTGTTCTCCAGAAAAGACCAGGTCAACTATGGTGTGCGTGTGTGCGTGCGTGCGTGCGTGCGTGTGTGTGTGTGTGTGTGTGTGTGTGTAGGGAATAACCCAGACTACAGTGAGAGTCTAGAGGAAAGTCTCAGCAAAACAGCACAGGATACCCTAGGAGAATCTAGACAGCAGGAAGAGATCAGGAAGTGCCTAGTGGGCCACTAGTGAACAGTGCCAGCTGGCCTCTGGGCTGCTGCTCAGAAGATGGGAGGCAGCACTGGCTTGGGAATTGTGTGCACAAAGCTTGAGCTTAGATGAAGGTGTGAGGTCGGAGCCCCTTGGGTGCTGTCCCTTACCCTGAACTGAAGGAAAAGAGGCTGGACCAGCTTCATTTCCTGTGTCAGAGCATTTCATCCCACCTGTTTCTATCCATCTGAGTCATCTCTAGGTAGCATGGGCACAGAGCTCTGCCAGGACTCCTGGGCTGGGGGTCATCCTCAGGGATCTGACAACCAGCAATGGTCAGATAGCCCATACAGCGCTCTGCCTGCATCAGTTCTGGCAGAGCATTGCTCGGGACAAAGATGGCCTTGCCATTCCTCCTTCAGCACCCACCCCAGGCTCCTCTGGGGCCCTGAGCCCTTGCCTGGCCCTGCCCCAAGCTCCATGCTCCTTGCAGGGCATTGGGACAGGACTGAGCTATGGGCTAATTTTCTTTATTCTGTTGTTTCCCCCACTTCCCTCAACTTTTTTTTTTCATTTTCTTTTTCTTATCCCGTTCTTTTAAAAAACTTTGGTTCTTCCCCTTTGTGTGTGTGTGTGAAACCCCTGAAAGCTCTCAAACCCACACCTATGGGGCCTCCAGGTAGGACATGCATGGGATGGAAGATGTGCGTAGCTCTCGTCTGTCTGGGTTCGGGGTGGGGCAAGCCCTTTAGAGCCTATATCCCACCCTGGAATACCTGCCCTTTAGTCCACATGCTACCATCATCGGACCCTGTCACCCCGCCCCCCGCCCCCCGCCTGGAGTCCCTGTGTTAACCTGTAGCTCCTTCTGGGCCAGTGTGAGCACACCTTGCCTCTCTGACTCCTGCTTCCTCAGCTGCTGCTTTCCTGTTGCTGGGTCCCTTGTCCTCAGTGTGTCTTGTTCCTTGGCCTGCTTCCTGCCTTGTCTTAACTGCTGTGATTCCCTACCCCTACCTCTACTCCACCCCAATGGCCCCACTTATGAGCAGAGTGGTGGTCATGCGACCCACCATGTTTTTAAGAGATCTATGTCTAGGACCACGAGCATACTCCAGACCAGAATCCTACTCTGATCATCTGCCCTAGGGTCTCCCTTCCAGAGTCTGAGTGCCCCCACAACTCTGGAGTCTTTATATACCACAGTGGAGAAAGTGTGAAGGCCCAGGGAACAGACTCATTTATTCTGGGTGGGGGCTCCTTTTTGTTGTGTTTAGGGCCAATTTGAGAAGCAGGAAACATATTCTTTGCCCATGTGCAGGCAGCTGAGCTGCCTAGAAAGGTTCACCCTACACGTACAAGGTGAGCCACCCCCTCCCCACTTAGGTGGGACCTGTGCTGGAGGAAGACCTGCATACCAGCACAGCCCTACAAAGTCCCTCCTGACCTAGTCCAGTAGCAGATATAGGTTCTTTTCTCTGGAGCTGTGACCTGTCTCCTACCTTTTGTAGGGAATGGACTAGGAGAGTGAGCACCTGACTTCCACAATAGAAAGGTTGTTCTCTTGGGTATGCCCTTGGATTTCTCCTTCCCAGACCCCAGAGGCACAGGTAGCTGTGGAAGTAGCATCCTAATGTCCAGCCTTTCCTGGGGCTCTCAGTTCCCTAGCAGGTGGAAGACCTGTGTCCTGTCCTGTCATGTTCCTCCTCCCCTCAGCCCACCTTCTCCAGTCAGCACCACACCCAGAAAGAGGACACCCCCCCCAACCCCACACACACACACACACACACACACACACACACACACACACACACACACACACATACATACAGGGCCCCAACCTATGTGGCTGGAGTTGTCCCATGAGACCAACAATATTGTCAGATTAGCTGATACTCTCCTGGGGTTGCCCCTCCCCCAATCCTCTGTGACTGCTCAGGGGTGACCAGCTATGTGCACGGCCCCACTTCCACGTGTCTGCCCCTGGTGGCTGCTTTGTGTGTCCTGGGCATGCGTCCAGTGTGGCTGGGAGGGCTGGTTTTACATGTGTCTAACCTGGGCCTATGTGGTGGTGGTTGTGGGGGTCCAAGGGAGAGGGCTGTGCCAAGGACCCTGCTCCAGGCCCCAGGGCTGGGTGAAAGAGTGGAGGGGAGGCCCTCGTGGCACTAGCTGCTAGCTTTGATTGCTAGGTTTCTGCTTCGTGCTGACTTGTCAAGGACAGTGAATGGCCTGGGGGAGGGGAGGCAGAAAGGGGTAAGGAGAGAAGCTCACGGGACTTCTATTTATTAGCAGCATCTTCAGCACCCTCTAGGTCTGGATCTGGGGCTGTGGCTATCAAGCAAGGAGGGCCCAGATGTAGCTATCCTTGCCAGAGCCTGAGAAACCTATGGGGGTAAAGAGAGAGGGAGGAGAAGAGAGCCAGAGGCAGCAGTGGCTCAGGGGTACAAGGTGGGTCTCTCTGAGTGGAGGAACAAGATTGAAGAGCAAGACTAGTTTGCCAGTAAACCCAATGGCCCTTCTGTTTTTGAGGTGGTGGGGAGCCATTAAATGTTTGAGTGGGAGAATGGCAAGGCTATTGGGCATATTTGAAAGATCTAACGGGGTAGGGTGGGGCAGAGAGATGCTGAGAGTATTGGAAGAGTCCAGGTGAGGTAGGCAGAGGGATGAGGAAGACACAGGACATTTCCAGGAGGAGGTACCCATGGTCACATAGAGAGGAGGGCTGGCAATGATGGGCTAGGAGGTGGCTAACTGCCACAGGAACCCAAGCACAAGAACCCAAATTCTGTGCTTTTTTAGCTGAGGGGTCAAGAGTGAAAGACAAGGACAGGTCCTGAGGATCCTGGTGTGTAGTTGGGACTCTAGGAGGCCAGTAAGGAAAGAGATACAAGAGGATCTACAGAGTGAGGCCGTCCTAGAGCAGGTAAGGTCAGAATTGAGACAAGAGTGTCAGGGCCTGGGGTCACAGGAGCCAAGGGACCGCTGTGTTTATCCTAAAATGAGGTGGGAATTTCATGGAACAGGCATTTGCCAGGAGGAAGCTGAGGCTCTCAGGGTGAAATGGGTTGGGATGAGATTTTACATGTGTGAGGGAAGGGATTCATTCACCTTCCACACAGGAGCATGCCTTACCTGAGACTGTGGCTGTGGCAATGGGCAGGCAGAGGCCAGGCATGGGGCTGAGAGTGGTATGCAGCCAGGTCAGGAACAGGAACAGTCAGGCTACGTGCTGAGAGTCCCCAGGGCATCAGGGCCTGGTTGAGACCAGAGCTTTCCTCTCAGTTGTGGCTAATCATCCTGTAGACCTGGGAATGAGCTTCTCTTTGCCCAGAAAAGCCCCTTTCTGTGACCTTCCCCCTATACCATTCCAGCCTTTGGAGGCAAAGAAGCTCCATCACTTGAGGGTCTGAGACTTTGAATATGTTGAGGTGCTGTGTTTGCAGCTCCTTGAAAAATTTCAGGGACAGGAAAGTAGAATGGAAGAGAGGTCAAGAGAGGAGGTATCCTACCTGGACTCTGCTCTCTTGATCTACTCCATGCTGAAGGGCTGGGTCCCCATGGCCTACTGTCCATGCTGGATCCTGACCATTTCCTGTGTCTGAGGCCACAGGAACAACATGGGAGGAGAGAGAGAGTAAAGACAGCCCTGGAGCTTGGGAGAGGTGGAGGCACTGAGCCCAGAGCTTCAGGTGTTCTACACCCATGCTCTGGCATCTGCTGCTTGCTCCCATGGGTGAAGCAGATGTGGGTGTGCAGAGCTGAGCCTCAGCTCTTATGGAAGTTAGGCTTACTCACTTCTCCTTCTCTTGCCCCAGACTCATCCCGCCTCTGAACCAGCTGGAGCTGCTAAGGAACCTCAAGAGCAAATCTGGACTCACTTTCAGGTCAGCACAGGGTCTCCTCCTAAGGGTCTATTCTTAAGGCTGGAACACTGGGCTAGGTGGGCAGCTTGAGTCTTCTAAGAGGGTTCAGAAACTTGGCCAGTGACAAAAAGCTGTGGGGCTGGGGTATGCTTGGCTACAAGTCTTGACAATGTCGGTGGCTTCTTCTTCTGGCTGGATTGAGGATCCTATTCCTAGAAGAGTAGCTGGTTGAGGGGATGGACACAAGGTAAGTTGGATTAGGAGTGGACTTTAACAAAAGATCACCTGGCTCCATTCACACTTCATGCTTAGGACCCAGGTGGGAAGTAGTGTCCCAGCACTGCAGTGTTGGGTGGTAACATGTTCATAGCACCTACTGGTTCTTTAATTACAGAATCTGTGACTCACAGTGTTTGGACCAGTGATGGGTGCAAAGAAGGGCTTGTTCTCTACAGAAGTAGAGAATGAGGCTAGAGCCTCAAGCAACTTCCTGTCAGGAGGGTGGCAGTGGGCTGATGGTAGGTCCTGTTCCTAAACATATATGAGAGCTTCCGATCCTGCTAATGTGACCTTCAGCAATCATTCTACACCTGGATTTTCTGAGTGGACCCTGGATCCATTCATAATGTCCATATAAGAAGAAAGAATTTTGGAGTAACTCACAGGAAGAAGCCAAATGAAGACACAGGCAAAGATTGTAGTGATATAGCCACAAGCCAAGGCTACCTAGAGGGCAAGGTGGATCCTCCCCTAGAGTCTGTGGAAGGAGTGCAGCAACACCTTGACTTCTGATGTCTCTACTCTAGGACTGTGAGAGAGTTTTTTTGTGGGTCCAACAACTTGATTACAATGTCTTTTACTGAAGCTCCAGACAACTCAGATTTTGAGTCTAAAAGTGTGACATTGAGTTTCAAATCGGGTAATGACTGGGCCTGGAAGAGGTTTGAAGTACATGTTAGAACAAACACACACTACCTTGAAGGGATGGTTAATGGATGTATGGGTGTTAAAGACACTCTGGGAGGTCTCCCAAGAAGTGAGGTTTCAGTTTATGGTTGGTTGGTTCCGTTGCTTGTAGGATGTGGGAAGGCAGAAATATCATGGCAGCAGGATGAAAACTGTTCATCTTGTGATGGCTAAGAAAAAGAGAGAGACAGGAAGAAGCCAGGGATATGATATGACTCACCCTTCACAAGCAAATTCCACTGGTCTGTCTCTGTCTACATTCCCTGTACCTGCTAATAGCCAATTCACTATGAACTTATGAATGGATTAACTCAGTCACATCTCAATAATGCCAGTATCTGGGGACCAAGACTTCAGCACACAATATGTTCAAGGAGATACTTCATATCCAAACTAAATGAGAATTGATACTGACAGTGCTTCTGACACCATTCAGCAGGAAGTCAGCAGAGAATGTGTTACTGAAAACTAGGAAAGGTGGTAGAGTATCAAAGGCTTGCCTGAGTTGTGTCCCCCTGTTGGGTGGAAGCAGAATCCTAAAAGGTAGGGATTTGGATGTTCAGCCATTGGAGGAGGTTTCCTGCCAGCTATACAAAGTACAGCCTGATTTCTCCTTGATGTTTATTGTCAAATTTCAGAAGAAAGAAGTTGAGGAACCTCTATGAGAAACTTGAACTTGGAGGTCTGGGATGTCCTTAACCTGTCTGGACAGCAAAGGGCTATGTCTGAGGAGAAGCAGTTCAGGGAGAGGCTGGTTAGCTACAGAGTATAGGCTGCAGATGAGGCAGAAAGTAGGTGTGAGACTCAGGTCCAATCAGTCATCTTGATGGAAGTCAGGAATGAAGGTGCTTGTCCAGGAAAGCTGTGCAAAGGACTCTTCTATGGAATGACATCCTCTCCTCAGCTACCTCAGGCCCTCAATAAGATGCTCATGTCTAATGGAATCCATTCTTGGACTACCTCTTGGTCACACAGAGAACTCTCCTGACTAATGTCATTCATCCTGAGCCTCTTCAAGGTTCTATAGTGGACTCTCCTGTCCAATGAATTCTGCCATGGATCACTTTAATGTCCCACACTTAGACACTTCTGACTAGTGCCATCCATCTTGGGCCACATCAGGATTACACAAAGGACACCCCGACTAGTAATATTCACTCTTGAGGCTCCTCGGGGTACCATAAAGTTCTGGGCAGCAGAGACACTGCTAGCATGGGCTGAAAAGGACAGAGACAAGTGAAATAAAGACAACATTGTAGATTGTTAGAAGCAGGAGGGATGACAGAAGAGTCACTTATGGCCACATGTACTGCCCTCAGAGCAGCAGCAGTAGAGATTATGGAACCAGGGTTAGTTTTTAATAACTCTTGAATCTAAGTAGAATTTGACATTTGGGTTTCAAACTTTGGTAGCCAGGGACCCCTTTATCAATCTTTCCCTTTTGAGAGGAACTGTCACCCTGTGTTGTCCTGCCATCACAGCCACTAAACGAATGATTTACTTTTGAGACTCAGGCCTGTGTACAGAGGGCTTCCCCCCAGGACAACCACGTCAGAGTCTTAATAACCTCATTAATGAGGTTTAACAGACAATTGAGTGATTTTTTTTTTTTTTTACAAAGAACTGATGGTGCTGAAGGTTGAGACCTAAGGAATTTAGGGATGGATGGTGTATTCTAGACCTCACAGACACACGAATATGGGTGCACTGATTCTCAAAACATGTTTATGAATATGACCTTAATTTGAAAAGAGGCCCTTCCTTGCTTGGGTTGTAAGTTAAAAGCTTCAGCACCTATGTGACTGTCTGCATGAAGGCCAGGAGAGGAGACACAGGGTGCCAGAATGTATACAAAGGGAAGATGGAAGAAGAAAGTTGAGATAAGCTGCTAGCCAAGGATGCTGGAACCCCCAAAGAGGCAGCCATTTCTCTGGTCCACTGGAGGAGTGGCTACCCATACCTTGACTTTGTGTTTGTGGCCTCCAAAGCCAAGAAAGGAAATCTCAAATGTTTCACTGCCCCTGGATGCAGTTGGGGTTGATAGAGTGGGTAGTAGTGTGAACATGCCCTCAGCTGTTCAGGCCGTCTGAGTTCCTAGTGGCTACTGGGAAGGATCACAGGATTACCTAAACTAGACCCTTGCAGGTGTGTGACTCCTCCATGAGGGCCATGGAGGGAACTGAAATGGCTTGGACTTATCCTCAGAAGCTTCAGGAACCTGGCTGGATCCTGCTTTTCTCTGCTGTAGCTTCTCTGCCGACATCATAGTAGTACAGTAGATATTATGCACAGTATTTGGAATGTAGTGGCAAGTCCTTGTCATACAAAAGACTGGCCTGGCACTGCCCTCCAGAGGGTACCAGGGGTCACTTCTCATCTTCCCTTCTCAACTAAATAAGATCCAGCCACCATCTAGTTATTGCCACTAGAAAGAACCAATCCCAATAAAACAGATAATGGCCAAAATAGCCATGCAAGTAGATCAGGGCCTGGGGATGACTAATGGCCTTGAAACTAACATGGATCATGAACTGTGGCAAAGTCCTTGCCTGATTCCTGCTACCACTGAAAAATGCACAGAAGGAGGGAACTTCCATTAAGTCAAGAGCTTTCTTCAGCCACATTTCTTTTTGAAACATTTTATTATGCTGGTATGATTCTGTTGAAATGAATATCCATTAATACCAAATAAAAGAGCCCTCTGGGTTAGATGATCACAGTTCCCTTGGGAGTCCCTTCCTTCCCCTGGGCCTTATAATGCCTCATCAAGAGAACAGGTACACTAGGAGGATGGCTCTTTGCATCAGGTCCTATTACATACAGCCCAACCTGTGGGCATGTGGACAGGTGTCAGGACTGAGGCCAAGGACCTGAGTACACCAGAGGGATCCTAGAGGGTGCCAAGGGAGGTCCCCATTCCTGGGCCATTGGATGTGCCATGGGGCTGCTGGAGGGGGTATCTACTAACTCTCTGTTCCTCTGTTTGAAGGAAGGAGCCACAACCAGAGCCATCACCAAGGTCAGTCCCTCCTGCCTCCAGCTGCCCTGGTGTGTGCTGTGCCTATCTTGCTTTGCTCCCTCTGTGTACACCATGTGTCATGGGGCAGGGCCACCATGGGCCCCCGTGTGTGCTTCTGTGTGTAGTGTGTGATAGTGTGTCCTGACACACATCCAGGGTCACTGCTTAGTTACAGCCTTCTCTCAGGGATTTGGGCAGCAAATGGGTGGGGCTTCTTGGGATCATCCCTGACCAACACTGCCCATAGGGACTCTGAGGCTGAGATTCCCGTGTACCCTGCAGATATGTTTCTGGAATTTGCAGGCCCAGCTGGGAACCCCAAGCAGGGGTCTCTCCCACCACTCTAGTGTGGGGGGTGTGGAGTACAGGACCAGATGCTGGCAGAGGGGAAGAGGACTTTGCTATCCTGGTAGCCCCTGGGGTGGGAGAGAGGCACAGTCCTCCTGAGGATGTTGAGGTACCCTGTCTCCTCTCATACCTCCATGGAGATTCCCACCTCACTGCTCCTTCTCCTGGTCTCTGCTGGCCTCCAAGGTTCCATTTGTTCAGGCTGGTTAGATGGGGCTCCAGTGTCAGTTCCACTTGGTAGAGAAAGGTGGAAACAGACCATGCTGTCCTGTCACTTATAAGAAAAGAAAAGACCATCACATAGATTTTGAGTTCAGTGTGCATCTGCCTGGGTCTCCAAGGCCTTTAGGCTGAGTGTGGACAGGCCGAGTGACCTGTCCACAAGGTGCAGTGTGAATATGGCCCCCAGACTTTAGGCCTGCCTCCTTGTGCCCCCCTGATAGTGGGGTGACCTAGAATATATATATAAACCTGCTCTTGTGCAGAGGAGGGTGGAATTAGGCTTACCCTATCCTCTATCCATTGGAGAAGGACACTGTCCTCCTCTCCCATACCACAAAAGGAGAATTTGTAGGTGGTGCCCTGAATTATAAAGACTCCCAAATCAGCTAAAGGGACAGCCAATGATGGGAACCCTGGCCACTAAGAAAACTAGCTGGAGAGAGATGGGCAGTCTAGTGTAGTCTTGGTTGTTGACCAGTCGAGGCAAGAGAGGTGACTTCCCCTGGCCTTGGTGTGGGTAAAACAGGAGTGTTGGCAGCCTCACTGCCCATCAGGGTTACTCGTCTGTCCCTCGTCGGCACTCTTTCCAATGACCCTGGAGCTGGGGGTCCCTCTGGTCGTGGACACTAGGCTGAGATTGGCCTAACCCCCAGCTGTGCCCCGAGTGGACCGAGACTGGTGGTGAGGGGTCTGGGGCTCTTTTGTCTCGTCTCCACACTGCCCTGACTGCCTGACACTTGCACCCTGACTTGGGCAAGCTGTCCCGAGGCTTCTGGCCTCCAGCAGTTTCTTGCTTTGCTGCGGTAGCTTTAGCACCCCCTGCGCGATTCTCGTCTCAGCCTCTCTCTCTCTCTCTCTTCCTCTCCTGCCCCCATCTGGAAAATCTTGCTGCCCCCAAGTGCTTTTAATCACTGTCACTGCCCTTCTTGGGCCCCTTTCTCGTCTGCTCTGTCTTTTGGGATGAGGTGCTGACTCTGAAAGCAGGATTCAAGGTGAGGACCCATGGGAGCCCCTGGCTCTCCGGTATGTTCCGTGGCTCCCCTGCTCTCCACCCCGCCACTCCTCTGTCTTCCCTGCGTGTCAGTGGCCCCTGCCTGCCTGTACCTCCACACCCTTCCCTGAGGGCCAGCGCCCACCAACCTAGTCCTCCTCCCAGGACGCCCTGCTCCCAAAATGCTCAGTTGGGGCAGCACATTTGCCATCCCTGGGAAGGGTGTGCAGGACCTTTGCACGGACACTGGGCTCCTCAAGGAGGTTGGGGCACCTGGAGAGCTGAATGTTGAGGGAGTGAGGAACAAGTTCTGTCAGTGAAGACCCCAACTCTTTCACTGGGTTGTATACCTGCTCGCCAGGTCTTGGAGGGTGGGTGGTATATCTGGCCTCTGCCAGGAGCAGCTATACCCCCTCTTTAGCATCAAGGACATAGGAAGTGTTCAGGAAATTGCTAAAGTGAAATAGTGGGATGAGCCTGTCCCTGGGCTCTTGTCTGAAATGCTAAGTGTGTGGGGGCAAGCCTAGTTCCCCCAGAGTCTTGCTGTCCTTCGACTCAGCCAGTCTAACAGGAGTCAGTGGCCATGCTCTGTCTAGCTCTAGACACAGCTTTGCATTTTGCCTGGCAGTACCAGCTAGCATTATCTGTCCGGGCAAATGGGTGGTGTGAACCCTGGACCTCTCCCTCAGTGGCCCAAAGATACTTTCCTGGTCAGTGTCTTGTGGCTCAGGACACAGGTGCATAGGGTGGTTTGTTCCTGAGGAGACCTACATGACTAGCCTGGAATCACTGTGGGTATCTGGGTTGGGGGATCCAGGGCAGGTGGGAGCTCAGGCCTGTGCTGTACCAATGTTTCTTGTGACTGCAGTTGCTGTGACTGTCCTTTGTGGGCCTGTCCTCTTCCTCACTGTCTCCTATCCTGTGCCTAGAGGAGCCCCTAACCCCAGCTTTGCCTTTCTTGTCCATATAGGTCCACTCTTCTTCACAGATGGAGGTGTCTGTGTGTCTGGGTGCCCATCCGCCCTGTCTAGCCAGTGTCTGTGGGCATATCTGTTCCCCACTGGGCTTGGGTTCCTCGTGGGCTGGCCAGTTGGTATCTGCCTGGAATTGAGATCAGCCAACCATTCACAGATAGGGTAGAGCTTCACTTTGCTGATGGGGTAGAAAAAAATGGGGTCAGAGGGAATGGACAGTGTCACACCAGCCCAAATTGGAGTCCTTGGTACCCACCAATCAGAGAAGACTGTGGACAGCAGCTTCCTCTTCTTCAGATCTTGTCAGGCTCTCAAGCCATGTTTTCTTAGACAGGAATGGCAAGCTGCAAGTGGCATTCATTAAAATGGACACAGTTGGTGTTCATTCCTGAGTCTCAGTGGCCAGGTGTGGTCAGTGGCTATCCCACTGGACAGCACAGCTATCAGACGTGGTCTCTGTTGCAGAACTGGGCCTCAGGTCCTGGAAGCCATAGAGCTGGGGAACAAAAGGGACATTTGTCAAAGGTGCTGGGAATGGACTACCTCTGTCTTTTGTTCTCAGGATGGACATAGGGGCCAGAGGCCAAGGGGCTAGGTGCTCACTTGCTTAACAGGCTGTTTAACCCTGGGTCAAGTCATAGGGAATGCTGCTGACAGAAGTACCCTGTAGTAAGTCGGTAGCATGTGTCCAGCCTTTGTCCTGCATCCCCAGGAATGCTACTTGTCTACTTAGAGTACCAAACATATGTGGATGCTTGGGCAAACAGTTTGGGAACTAGCCTGCTCTCCAGAATCTAGTTCCAATTCTAATATTTGTTTACACCGGTTAGCAAAGTATGTCTTTTATTCCTAAGTAGAGAGGCTCATGTGTCAGTGACATATAACAGAGAATAGAAGTGGTCTGAATAAATATGTAATGGGAAATGGCCCACTGGACACTTTTTTCCTGGGGCTTGTTTGTTTCTGATTTGAGATGGTCCTATATGTTGGTTTCCTTGGGTGCAAAGTTTGTAAAGTGCTGTTATAACTACACAGGAAGAGGGAAGGCCTGGAGAAAAAAAGTGTTTTTTGTAATTTTCTGTTTTTCTTTTTATTTTTTTAGGACAGGGTTTCTCTGCATAGCCCTGGCTGTCCTGGAACTCACTCTGTAGACCAGGCTGGCCTTAGACGCTAATTTTTTCTTTCTTTCTTTTTCTTTCTCCTTCTTCTTTTACTTAAAATTTTTGCATGTTCTAATGCGAAACAAATCTCAGGAGTTTGGGGGGAATCTTGGAAAGGGCCAATGTTTGCTGGAATTTTGCTGAGGTACCTCAGGTACCCCGTTGGAGCTCTGTTGGCCCAAGTCATGACAATAAAGTGGACTCATGGAATACCAGATGAATGTACTTGGTCAGTCCTTCTAAATATGAGTGTGTCCCCAAGCCTCTTCTCTTGAGCTTCCTTCTATTTGGGGGCAGCCACCGCCTCCTGGATAAATCAAAGCCCACTGCCAACAGGGCCATAGACTGGTGTGGCAAAACCTTGCCGCTTGCCAATTGGTTTATAAAGCTAAATTGCATATTTTTCCCTCCCTAAAAGGCGCATGCTTTGCAGCGGTCACATCCCAGACTATCTCCATCCACATCTTGGTTCATGTATTATTATTATTTTTGTTGGCATGCATATAGCAAAAAATAATACATCTCTTAAAACATGAACCCACACTCTGGCTTTGGAAGGAAAGGGTATTTTTGGAGGAAAACCACAGGGATTCTTTTTCTCCAAAAATAGAGAACTGTTTTCTTTCCCAGGCCGCGGAAGACTTTCGCGCGCACTCCTTTCTCTCTGTCCCTGCTCAGACGCAAACGCTGCGGCTGGGGACTGTGAGCCTGAACTCCCTGGGTGGTCACAGTGCCTCAGTTACCTGCTCTCTGTTCGGGTCCTGTCGCCGCCCCCGGGACTAACTATGCTCTCCTCATTTCCAGTAAAGGCAGACCGTGCCGAGGGTGCCTGTGTGGATGCTGCCCGGGACACTCTAGGTACCACGCAATGCTCGCACGGACTGACCACGCTGCACGCTCCTGCCCTCCCTGCTTACTAGAGGTTCAGGATGAGCCGGCACAGTGCCCACCCAGCTCTGAGTCCCCGATGCCTAAGCACAGGGCAGAGCTGGGTGCCTGGCCTCTGACTCTAGATGGAGCCCCCTCCTGTCAGAGCAGGGGACTGGCTGGCCAGGGTTACTGCTGTAGAAACAGTTGGATGTCCTTCAGGGAACATTTCCTCTGGGGCCGGCCACTCTGGTACCTCTACTAGGCATTAAGGACCGACCCTTAGCCGGCACCTCACTGAGGGAGGCAGCTTGCTGTGTTCTGGGCTCTTCAGGGCCCCTAAAAGCCAGAGGCCATGTCTGCCCCTTCTGACTTGCAGGCCTGGTTTAGGGAAGACGGGAAACGGGAAGGTGAAGAGCCTCCTAACCCTTTGCACCTTGACTACGTCTCTTCCGTCCCGTTCCCCTGTCTGTTGTCCATGTGTGAAGGTATTTGTCCTGCTTGCTCTGGGGCCCCTGCCTCCTGGTTGCTCTCCCATGCCTGTCCCTTTCCTGGCTGGTGCAACCCAGCCATATGCAGGCAGCTGTGGTGGCCCCCGCATGGGGGGGCCCCATCATGTGCATGTGGCCAGCTGTGCCAAGCAGCATGCTGTGCATTTGCACCTGTGCATGCTCGGTGTCCTTCTCCACTGGGAGAGGGGCTTGAAGGCCACTTCCCCACCCCACGGGCCTCTCTGCTGGCTCTGTGCACTGGAGGTGGGTGCTTGTGGGGAGAATTGTTGCAGCTGCAGACAGGGAGATGGATGTCTGGACTGCCCTGGGAGGCAGCCTGCTCAGGTCCTGGCTGAAGCTGCCTTACTTGCCCATGGCATTTGTGTCCAGGTGCTTCTGGCCACAGGTTGGACCTTCAGGGCAGAGGCTAAGGTCAGGCTTCTCGAAGACCAGAAGGACTGGGAAGGACGGGCCTGCAAGAGCCTGGCTGAAGTCCACCTTGCTCTACGTGTTCTTGTGGACTGTCCCTTGGGCATCCTCGGTCCAGGCACAGGCTGGGCAGTTCTCTATGGATGCTAGCTCCCTGCATTGCTGAGTCTGAGTCCCCATGCACTGACTAGGGCGAGGGCCATCTAATGGCTGGTTTCCTTTTGAATTTCACTCTGCAGAGGGTGACAGGAAGAGAGAGGCTGGGGTTTGCTTGCTTCCCCAGGGTCTTCCTGAGCTGACTCCTGGCTGATGTCATGCTTGTCACACACAGGGCAGTTCTGTTCATGGGTTCTTGCTGGGGCTTTAGGGGATGCTCTGGAGAGTTTCCTACCCGATGTTTGCTTTGATCTTGACTTGGTGGCTTGGGAGGTAAGAGGGAGTCCCTTAGACTCCATGCCTCTATCCAGGCCCCAGAGATGTGGAAGGCCGTGTAGGGACTGAATGTCCTGGCAACGGCAATCCACTTTGTCCCTTTCTCTGTCAGGGCCTCCTTCTAAGGAAGGGACAGTGTGAAGAGTTGGAGACTGAAGAACCGAGACTAAGGGTGGGGGGGATCTCTTTACTGGCAGCTGCACCTCTGCTGTGGGCTGCAGCCCTGTGTAGGGCTAGAGTCCACCAGGCTTGCGTTTGTGTGGTTGATAACTTCTCTTGGTAGCTGTGGAAGAAATCACTACTAGGAAGGAAAAGTGGCTGACTTTGGGTAACAGGTCCTCCTGGGAGGGACCTGTTTCAGTCCCTCTTGATGTAACAGAGGTCGGGGGTGGGGAGGCAGTGAGAGCCTGACTCGACATCACCAGCTGTAGCAGCTCAGTCTGCCTGACAGCCAGAGTTCAATGCACACTGATTATAAATTGTTGCAACATTGAGTGGCTCCTGGGACCCCGGCAGGAAGGCAGCTCTGCACCTTGATTCAGTATGATCAATGCCAGGCTGCTTAGTGGTGAGCTGGAGTTGGGGGTGGGGAGCAGAGGAAGAGCCCTTGAGCGATACTGGGAAGTGTGAGCTCCCTCAGCCTAGCTCCTATCCTATCTACCCTGGGTGGACCATGAGAGACACATTGTCTTGGGTCTTCAGTAGTTCCTGTGATAGAGGTGCCCACAGGAGGAGAGAAAGCATTTTGGAAGCCACAGACCTCTGAATATCCAGTTTTCCCTAGACCCAACTAGAATTCTCTGTTTAGAAAGGGATCAGAGCTGGGCAGTGGTGGCACACGCCTTTCATCCCAGCACTCGGGAGGCAGAGGCAGGCGGATTCTGTGAGTTCGAGGCCAGCCTGGGCTACAGAGTGAGTTCCAGGAAAGGCGCCAATGTTACTGTCTCGAAAAAAAAAAAAAGAAAGAAAGAAAGAAAGAAAGAAAGAAAGAAAGAAAAAAGAAAGAAAGAAAGAAAGAAAGAAAGAAAGAAAGAAAGAAAGAAAGAAAGAAAGAAAGAAAGAAAAGAAAGAAAAGAAAGGGCTCAGAAGGTCCTGTAGATTCTGGGTGTCCCTGGCCACTACCTGCCTGCGTGTGGCCACCAGTGTTTCAGTGAAGCACAGAAGTCTAGACTCAGGGCCGTTTTCCAAAGCTAGCAGAGGCCACTAGCTCCTGATGTTCCCAGGACACAGGATACTTTGAAACTGCCTCAGTTTCCCTGTGTGGGTTTTGTGCCCCTGGCTTCCTTGTCATCCTCCTCCTTCTTTAGAGAGTTTGAGCAGACAAGGATGGTCTCTCAAGTATCCTGCTGTCCCAGTGGGGTGGGGAGAGCTACTAGCCCCATCCACAGTCCAAGGTGGAGAGACTTAGCACTGTGGCCATCTTCTCTATGATAGTCAGCTCTGCATTGTCTGCTGAACATATCTCTCTGGCTGGTGGCCCATGGTGGGGCACTGTGGCTGGGTGTGAAGTTGGGTTCTGAGGCATTGATGAACAATACTGAGCATTGAAACTTCCTTGGAGTTATCCTTAGTACTGCTAGGTATTGTCGTGGGCCCTGTCTGAAGCTACTCCAGGAAGTCCTGTGGCTCCTATGTGGCTGAACAAGTGAGTCCCACTTCACAAGAGACTTGCTGCCTTCTGCCTCTGGAGTTATGGTAGAGTCATCAGTAGAAAAAATAACTGGCCTGGACTGAAGCATGATTCCCCCAGAGTAATGGGTGGAGGCCACCTCTGTCTGGAGCAACCTAGTCACAGACCCTCTGTCTCTTCATGTCTATATCACAGTGAGCTGCTGAACTCTGGGATTATGAAGAGACATAGGGTGAGGGAGATCCCAGGACCTTCTAGAGTCTAGAAACAGCAGCCCAGTATGAGAGAGCTTTGGGCCGGGGCTGGCCATCATCTCTCTATTTCTATAGCCACCACCTAGGGCCGGCCGAGGCTTGGGACAGCCAGTCCTATGAGAATGGAAGCCTAGCCTCAGAGTAAACCTCATCCCCGATGTCCTCATAGAAACATCCTAGGGGAGAGGTCTGAAGCCCAGAGACCAGACAGTGTTGGGCATCAGCCCCACATAGAGGTCAGGCAGCTTCTGGGAATCATAGAAAAGGCTGGAGCTAAGGTGGATCTAGATATATCAGCTGTAACCCTGATCTCGGGTGATCCTGGAAGTGATGTGATAGTGAGGACACTCCAGGGGCAGTTGGAATGGGCAAGAGGGAAAGCTATTGGTTGGGCCAGTACAGAAAAAGCTCCAGGGAAGAGATTCAGTCTCAAGTGTCTGGGGGTATGTCTAGAAGTCATTTGGGGAAGCTGACAGGACAGAGTGGAGAGAGTTCTGGCACCTTGTGGTAATAGATGAATGATTTAGGAGCCCCGCCGTTGCCTCCCCAGGTCTGGCCACACCTGTGCGGCTCCTCACCTCTACCCTGTGCTTCGCCAACCACTGCTCCCTGTTCCCAGCGTGGTTGGTCATTCTTTGGACTTGCATCTCCCTCCTAGCTTGGTGGGTGGGGGCATCAGCTGCAAAGAGACATGACTTGTTATTTCCAGAGTGATTTCTCTTGCTGTTTTTCTGTGTGTGTGTCTGTCTGTCTGCCTGTTCTGTCTGCCGGTCGGTTATCCTGGGAACAGTCAGAAGGTCAGCTTGAAAGATCGTGTCTTCTCCAGCCCCCGAGGCGTGGCTGCCAAGGGGAAGGGGTCTCCCCAGGCCCAGACGGTCCGGCGGTCCCCCAGTGCTGATCAGAGTCTCGACGACAGCCCAAGCAAGGTGCCCAAGAGCTGGAGCTTTGGTGATCGCAGCCGTGCACGCCAGGCTTTCCGAATCAAGGGTGCTGCATCCCGGCAGAACTCAGAAGGTGGGTCAGCACCACTTTCCCCAAGGCTGGTGGCTCCCGGGGGAAGGACATTAGCACTTGGCTATAGTGCACAAATGGAAGTCTCTTGGAGCAGGAAGCCCCCATTCTTATTCTTTTAAGCGACATCATGTAAGACGAACAACTTTAGCACACATCGTTCATCGGCATCTTGTAATTCCATTACTTGCAGTGCCACCTCTGCAGATAATGGAGAAGAAGCCCTAAGCCCTCTAGATGTCACCCCAGCCCTCTCCAGCACTGGGCTCCATGCCTGCTTCTCTCTGCCTCCAGTCTGTGCATGCCACATGCATGGTATTGAGCCTTATATGGTCCATGGTGGCCATTTCACACTGAGCATGGTGTCTCCAAGGATCATCTGTGTGGTCAAGCTTTCTTCATTTCTTGACTGAACCGTGACCACAGTTGGTCATCCATTCATCTGTTGTCAGGGATGCCCTTTTAAACCCTCATGGTGTTCAGGTAATAGCTTTTGGGTAAGAGACCGAGAATGGAGAGCTGCAGAGAGGCGGGGGTGTATACTCCAGTGCAGCAAAGGCATCGAAGGGATATCCTGGGGAAGCCTGAGTGACCCCTGATGATCAGTGTGGGGACTGAACCCTGGTGTGATGGTCTGCTCACGGTCTGTGCTCCCTTCCACCCAGAAGCAAGCCTCCCTGGGGAGGACATCGTGGAGGACAACAAGAGCTGTAACTGCGAGTTTGTGACTGAAGATCTCACCCCTGGTCTCAAAGTCAGCATCAGAGCTGTGTGGTGAGGGACCTTCATCCAATCTGCATGAGAAGGCCCTGTTCAGTGACCTCACAGGGGTCTAGCCGAGTCACCAAAGGCCATAACTACTGGGAAGTCACAGGGAGTCCTGAGGAGGACCCATTCTAGCTCCTGTACCTGTTAGCTTGTTCCCAGAGGGCCAGGGAGCCCTGGTGGAGCTGTCTGGACCTGAGAGCCCAGCCCCTGACCGTATGGATGAAATGGAGGCCAAGGGCTGGAAGGTTTTTCAGACAGCCAACAGCTACCCCATACACGTGGCTCCAAGGAGGATGGGACCTGAGGCTGAGCACTGAGTGACCCTTGGTGGGGAAGGGTGAGTGGGTGGCCCGGGAGAGAATGGACACTACTTCCCAGGGATTGTGGTCTTGGAGCTGTTTGAGGGTGACAGGTGGATATGGGAACTGGCCCCTGGCAGTGTCTGTCTGGAATTCATGATCTGTCCATCTCTGCAGTGTTATGCGGTTCTTGGTGTCTAAGAGAAAGTTCAAAGAGAGTCTGCGCCCGTACGACGTGATGGATGTCATTGAACAGTACTCAGCCGGACACCTGGACATGTTGTCCCGCATCAAGAGCCTGCAGTCCAGGCAAGAGTCCCTGCCTGTCCAGTCTGGGCATGAACAGGGCCCTCCGGGACAAAACCAGGCGTGGCACAAGGGGCACCAAGGGCTGGGTGACAGGTGTGCAGAACAGGGCCGTGCCACCATTGGAGGTCTCTTCCCATCGTGTGGCTTCTCGTTGCTTTCTGCTCTGTTTTCATACTGTCTGATTTTTTTTTTCTGCCCCTTCCTTTTCTCTCCCACTCACTTGCACTGTGGTGACAAGTGTGTGTATGTGTGTTCACATGTACATATGTGTGCACATGTGTGTGAATGTGTATATGTGTGGGCATCTAGATATACTCATGTGCATGCACAAGTGCATGCATGTGTGCATATATGTGTGCAAATGTACATATGATGTGTGGATGTATGCATGAGCACCATATGCTGTGCTGTGTATGTACATATGTGTGTTGGCGTATATGTATGCATGTGTGTGGTATGCACATATGTGCTGAGATGGGAGTGTTTCTGTGATAAGATGGAAACACAGGGCTTCTGTGAGCCCTGTCAGGCAGTGGCTGGGGACCCTGGAGCTGTTCCTCCAAGATACAGCCATCTGCTTCCTCATGGTGGGGTCCTACTTTCTGAGTAGGAAGTACATCAGAAACAACCCCTGGCTTATCTTCATGTGAGAATAGGCTTGCTTGCTCTAGAAGTTATTTACACATGCATTGTGTACACATGAGTAAGGCCTGAGTCCTCCCACACATACACATGCAATCAACATATGCTGGTGTACACATACATATCCGTGGTTGTTTCAACCTACCCACAACATATTCACAGGAACACATCCTCAGATGCACAACACACAGAAGTGTGCATTCTCCATTCGCTTGAGTACACAGGTATATACACAGACCATGTCTATAACTGTTCCAGCATGTCCCACTCCCCATGTTCCTAGGCACATACCCTTAGCCACGTACATCATTCACCCATGTGTGTGTGTGTGTGTGTGTGTGTGTGTGTGTGTGTGTGTGTGTGTGTGTGATACCTGTGAGGAGCCTGTCTCCTAAGTGGGGGAAGCACAGCCTGTTTTCCAGTCCTGGAAGTGGAGCATGAGATTTGGAGACAGAGCTGGGACAATAAAGACAGCCTGGGGACTCCTTATGGTCAAAGAAAGTTACATCAATGGCAGATGTCAGGGGAGTAAGGCTTCTAGGCCATGAGCTTCTCTCCTACATGGAGGCCAGGCAGGTGTCCCCCAGCTCAGGCTGAGGCCTCTGATTGGCTTCCCCAGGGTAGAAGCTGTACATGTGCTGCATGTGGATGAGTGAAAATTCACAGCCTCTAGCCTAGTGCCATGCCCATCTCCACAACTGTTTGCTCCGTATCCTCTTCCGCTCCACACTTCCCTTTTCCTTCTCTTTCTGTCTGGGAAACAGACTGCCAATGAGGAGTCGTGTGCTTCTGGCCTCTGATGCAGACAGAGTCCTGTTGCTCTGCTTCTGCAGAGTCCCTTTCTGGGACTTAGTTCCCAGCACCAGTCCATCCTGTGCTCCACCTGAGGTTCAGTGGGCAGGCTGGACAGTGCTTGGGACATGGGAAAAGCCTGACAGGTGTGAGGGCCAGAGTGTGGGTCCACTATTCTGTTTTGAGCATGTTTTCCAGAAGAATCACTATTGTCAAGTTGTTCCATGTTTCTGTGCATGTCCAGCAAGTCACCTTGGGTTGTTTATGATGTGTTTTGCTGGTGTCTCTCTTCTTGTTTACGCTGCCAGGATAGATATGATTGTGGGCCCCCCACCCCCTTCAACTCCCCGGCACAAGAAGTACCCTACCAAAGGACCCACGGCCCCTTCGAGAGAGTCACCCCAGTACTCACCTAGGTTAGGATGCACTGCCTCCTCCCAACCTGTCTGTGAATGGCCAGCCCCTTTGCTCTGGGCCGCATGATAGCAGCACCTTGCACTTTTCTTTCCACAAGGCAGGGGACATTCAGGTTCTCTCTCTTCCTAAAGGGCACGTTAGGGAAAAGGCTGCTCCTTGACAGGACTGTTTGGTAGCACCTGGATTGACTTTCCATGGACTTCTCTATGACATCTGCTGAGGCTGGTAAAGCAGAGGACCTCAATGGCCAATGATATTGTGACCTTGACCAGTTCAGGCCCTTCACACCTGCCCATTACTGGGGTGACCACCATGTACATGGTCCTGACCTTGGCTCTGTGTAGTTTAAAGCAGATGGAGGTGCTTTCCTGGGCTGCTTCCTTAGGTGTGAGATGAACCTGCCTCCTAAATTGTTCTGAAGAGTAAGTGAAGGCTGAGGATGTAGCTTGGTGGTAGAATACTTGTCTGGTATGTGTAATGCCCTAGGTTCAATTCCCAGCATTGCAGGGGGCAGAAATAAATGAGAAAATCCCCCATAGTACACCCAGCACCAAGCTGGCTCTGTCAGTTCTGGTATTATTTCAAGTTGCCACCACCATCGTTGATGTCATTGATAAGAAAGATGGCAGCCCACCTTTTCCTGCCCCTCAGCTGATTGACAGATGGCAGATGTAGTCCAAGGAACAGTCAGATGGCAAAAGCCAGCTCTGGTGTGGTTAATAGGCTTCAAGACCTGGGTACCCTGGGACCACTCAGATAATTCCCTGTCTCCCTCTGGTGGGCCTGATTGTTCAGGAGAAGTAAAGCTCTCAGGAGCAGGCTGGGTGGGGGTAGGAAGACACTGCCCTGTCTGTCAGCTGGGGACAGAAGAGCTCTGGGCAGCTCAGAGAGTTTGGGAAATTGGAACTGGCAGGTGTAGCATCAGGGTTGCTGCTCGTGAGGTCAAAGGTCAATGTGATGCACACATATCAGTCCATGAGAGAGGGACCCTAGGGGAGCACGTAGTGAGCAACTCTTGGTCAGTTGACATCCAGAGTGGCCCATGACACTATCTGCCATGAGACTGAAGCCCATTTAGTCCTCTGGGTCTTTTTGCCAGTCGTGACCACTAGTCATCCAGGCTGTAGGCTGGGAAGGCCCTGCAGGCCTCAGAGCCCCTCAGCCTTCTCCTGTGTTGCAGCAGGGTGATATACAGATACACACACAAAAGGTCTCACAGCACAGTTGGCACTCGTCACCCAAGAGGTGAGAAGCACCTGGAGTCTGATGCCCGAGCCTGAACCCTGGGGCAGGAGGTAGCACAAGGTCCTCAGAGGACCCTTGTCTGGCCACCTTGCAGCAACTTGAAGCCCACCCTTGAGATGCACCAGGCAGATGGCTCGTCATGTGGCGGGGGTGAAGGGGCTGTGCATCTGTGCCTGGACCATGTGGACAGTGGAACATCAGGGAACCTGTTCCCTTGCCATTGTCACTGACATCTGCTTGGAGCCAGAAGGTCCCTCCTGCCATCCCCCCTACCCTCCTTTGCATGAGCCCAGCATGAGTCCAGTGGAGCATGCAGAGGCTGCCCCTGGCTGATGCAAGCCTGAACCTTCCTCTGGAGTTGCCACAAAAGCAGGCAGGGCACCCCAGTTTGTAGGGAGAACTGCTGATGTGTAGGGAGAACCTGCTGACACGTACCTGCTGGAGTGTGCTTTGTGTATGGGGCTTCACAGCCCAGCTTGAGAAGTCTTGCTCAGCCATACTCTGGGTGCAGTGGGCTTATGGGCTCTACACACACTCTTCATTTTTAAGTGACCTGCAGCTAGCTCCCAGCCCATGCTCACTCTTGTGACACCCACCAGCCCTGCCACAGCCCTACATGCCCCCATAACATGCCATGGATCTGCTGGTGCCACAATGGGCAGATGGGAACCCCCATCCTCTGAGGGCAAAGGAATCCCTTTCCTTCTTGTTGGTATTATGGTATCATTACTGATCAGCTCAGTTGAATTTCTCATCTCGCCCAACACTTACAAGTGCACACATTCATTCACATGGGTGTGAGTATACACCCCCACATGTGAGTACACATGCATCACACTTGCATGCATGCATCAGCACACTTGTGTGCATATATTCCCCCCCCCCCACCTCACAAGTCCCTGGTTGGCAGTGCTCATCTCTCCCCTGGTTGTGCTTTGGCAGTTCCTATGTGGCCCTTGTTTCCTCCTCCCTTGTCCTGATGCATGGAGCTGACACTCACTGCTTCTGTTGTCCTTGCTGCAGACATTTAACATTGTCCCTGTCATACCCATCGGGGTCCAAGGAACTCCATGGCACATTAATGTGGGAGTAAAGCTGGCAGGGGGTGGCTACTTGGGCAAAGGCACAACCTCTCCTACTCTGGTCCCTTGGCTGAATGCCCACCAACCACCTCTGACCCCCTGGGCCTCAGTTTGCTGTGAGACCAGTGAATCCCAGGCCTGGGAAGAGCTGTGAAGCAAGACCAATGGAGATGAAGCCATACTAGGGGGACCCTGGGGAGACATTTCCCTTTACTCCTTGTTAATGTGCCAGATCCCATGGGGATGGAACAGATAGGAAACAGGACCCAAGGTGTCAGGAGGTAGCCTGAGATCATGAGGCACCGGTGTCCATCTGCCTGGCACCTGCTACCCCCCGGTCGGCTCTGGATAGGGCTCGGAGCTCGGATCTGGGGGGCTGTGGGTTAGCCCAGGAAGAAGGGGCAGGGGCCTGGTCACACCCTCCCAAACTCATACTTGGGGGCTGGGTCTCTATTCCCGCTAGAGTGGACCAGATTGTGGGGCGGGGCCCAACAATAACGGACAAGGACCGCACCAAAGGCCCAGCAGAGACGGAGCTGCCCGAAGACCCCAGCATGATGGGACGGCTTGGGAAGGTGGAGAAACAGGTGGGAGAAGCTTGGGAAGGAATGGCTCTGCTGTCTCTCAGTCTCCTCTTGTTAGCTGTGGCTGCTGATGCAGCAGGAGGGGGCACAGCTCTGTGAGATGCCCCTGATCCCCTGTGAAGATCCTCTGATCTGGCACTTTCCATTCTCATAGTCAGTATCTGTATCTTGGAACTGTCTGGAAGGGTAGCTGTCAGGCACGATGTTCATTTGAGGGTCCTTTGGCAGGGGTGACCACTGGGGAACTTGCCAGAAGTTACCTACTTCTTCCCCCTTCTCCTTTCCTCGCCTTCCTGGAAATGGATCCTTAGGGGCCACCGCATGAGTCCTTCTGTGAGCTGGCCTGAGCTCAGGCGCACACTAAGCTCAGAGGTTGAGCTGTTCGAGTTTGGGGCAGAAGGGCAGCTTCCTTCCTCTGCCCCTTCTCACCTACGTCCTCCCTGGGTCCTCTCCTCAAAAGCACAGCCCAGCAGCTTCCACTCTTGCAGGTCTTGTCCATGGAAAAGAAGCTAGACTTCCTGGTGAGCATCTACACGCAGCGAATGGGCATCCCACCAGCAGAGACAGAGGCCTATTTTGGGGCCAAGGAGCCTGAGCCAGCACCACCCTACCACAGCCCAGAGGACAGCCGTGAGCATGCAGACAAGCATGGCTGTATCATTAAGATCGTCCGCTCCACCAGCTCTACAGGCCAGAGGAACTACGCTGCACCCCCAGCCATGCCCCCTGCCCAGTGTCCTCCATCCACCTCATGGCAGCAGAGCCACCAGCGCCATGGCACCTCCCCTGTAGGAGACCATGGCTCACTGGTACGCATCCCACCACCCCCCGCACATGAGCGGTCGCTGTCTGCCTACGGTGGGGGCAACCGGGCCAGTACCGAGTTCCTGAGGCTGGAAGGCGCTCCAGCCTGCAGGCCCCCTGAGGGTGCCCTGCGGGATAGCGACACATCCATCTCCATCCCATCTGTGGACCACGAGGAGCTGGAGCGCTCTTTCAGTGGCTTCAGTATCTCCCAGTCCAAGGAGAACCTGGATGCCCTCGGCAGCTGTTATGCAGCTGTGGCGCCATGTGCCAAGGTCAGGCCCTACATCGCAGAGGGGGAGTCTGACACAGACTCAGACCTCTGCACACCATGTGGGCCTCCCCCACGCTCTGCCACTGGTGAGGGCCCCTTCGGAGATGTGGGTTGGGCAGGGCCCAGGAAGTGAGACTGGGCTGGGCTGCTGGGCCCCAGGCCACACCCACTCTGGTTCCTGGTTTGGAGCTGGAGTTCCAGGGCCTTTCCTAAAGTGACAGAATGACACAGAGTAGTGTGGGTTGTCAGGATGCTCATGAGATCTAGCTCTCAGGGTTCATGTGGAGTGGAGGTGAGGCAGGGCTCCTTGGCATACATGGTAACATTTTATAGAAGTTCTTTTCCAACCAGGAGAGAGAGGCTGAGGCTGGGCCCTGGAGGCCCTGGGAGCTACCTATGGCAGCAAAGCTAGCCCTGCCCAGTCTTCTTGGAGGACAGATATTGCCCTGTGAGTGAGGAGCAGCAGAGTGATGGTGGCGCCTGTGAGTGGGGGTGTGGCTGGGATCAAGTACATGGGAGGTAGTGGTGAAGCAGGCCTGTCTACTGCTGATGGCCAGTCCTGAAGCCCAGGTGTCTCCTAGCTTAGGCTGGAAACTCAGGAGGTATAGTAGGTTGCTGGATATGGCCCACTCTCACACCTGACTGCTTATCCCTCAGTTCCTGACTGCCCCAGTAACGCACTACCAGGCCCACTGTTTGTGTGTGGCTGGGAAATGCCTCTTATCCCTGGACACCTAGCTAGAGAGCTGCCGGCCAGCATCTTCCTCCCTCTTCCAGGTTCTGTGGACCCTTCCATGGGAGCCACCCTTAGATCAGGACCCTTTTCCTGGAGTTGAGGAAGGGGTGAGTCCTTAGGGACCAACCTGGAGCTTAGAACTGACCCTTGGATGCCCCCACTCCTGGCTTCCACCTCTTAGGGGAGGAACCAGCTCATAGCCTTTTCCTGAAAGGGATTCTTTGGGAGGTTCTGGCTGCCTCATCCCTGGCACTGTAGCCCAGGAGGTCTGGGTTGAGACCTCATGGCCTCACCTTTTCTTGGTGTGGTGCTGGTCTCCAGGCTGTGGCCAGTACTTCAAGAGAACCACCTGGTAAACAGACCAGCACTGTCCTTAGCCAGGGCACCAGCTTGCCTGCTGCCCACTTGGCTCTACAGATCCAGGCAGGGCTGAATGACATGACATTGTCAAACTGCCAGCTCTTTCTACATGAGATCATGGCCTCTGCACCTGGTCAAGGATCCTTCCCACGGAAGCTGGCTGTCCACAGTCATTCATCCACTATAGGTTCCTTGGCTGTGGCCTCTGAGTGTTTGAGGGAATTGGGAACACCTTGTCCTCTACTCCGGTTATCAGGACTCTGTCCATCTTGTGAGTGGGCATCTTGGACCATATGGCAGCCAGCTTTAGAGGGAGACAAGGTAGAGTCCTCAGCTGTGGTCCTGCAACATTTGGCCCAGAGGTGTCTGGCATTCAATGATAGAATTTTGGGGTGGGGGCCCCAGTCTCTCTGAGGCAACAGTTTTCCTGGTCACTGAGGGCAAGTAGAGCTTGAGCCTGGACAGAGCTCTACCCACTTCTCCCACCTTTAAAAAAAAAAAATGTGTTCTGGCAGGGGTAGAAGCAGCTTGGGGGCCTATGCCCAGCAGGAGGCACCCTATACCCGTCTCTGTCAGGGGAGCTGGGTCTGCTGTCTACTATGGCCTCCATGTCCTCCATGTCAGGGCTGCTAGGACTGCACCTCAGGATGCCGCTGCTAGGCTCCTAGTTGAGAAACTATGTCACAGTGTGTGCACACTGGTTCTCTAGGGTAGTGCTGTAGTCAACTCCTTGGAAGGAGAGATGTCTCTTCCTATGTGGGCATGGCAGGCAGTGTAGGCAGGAAGAGCAGCTACCCCTTCACTAGCCTTCTCTTGGAGAGTTGAGCCCGGGTTCAGACCCACCTGACACACAGGTAGACTCCAGGGCAGAGGGACAAGCACATCTGCCCTGGACAGACCAGCTGCCGGAGTACTCCTCCCCTAGACCTGGGTAGACCAGAGCTGTCTCAGCTCCAGGGAATGTGGGAAGGAGGTTTGTGTCTGTCCGACATGCTCCACACAGTATGTCCTGCCTCGTATGTGTGGCCCCACATCCTGTCCCTAAAGCTGCCATAAATAGAAGAGCCTGACCTAGGGTTTGTAGGATGGAGGTGGACAGGCACGCCCTCCCCAGAAACCCTAGCCACACAGAATTTATCAGAAGTCCTTATTAGGGTCCAGCAAGAGGGAAACGGGGCCATGGTCTGCTCTGCAGATGAGGAGCAGTGGTCAAGACTTCTGTGTCCGCTACTCAAGGAAGAAGTTCATCTCAAGGGGTGACATGGAAACCCTGATGTGAGAGATGACCGAGCCCCTTCTTGGGGACCCAGACCCAGGCCTGAGCAACACAAATGTCCACTGCCTTGGCATCCCCACCCTCAGGGAAACAGGACAGGATGGAGGCACTTTCTTGGGTATTCACATGTGACCAAGCATGGCTGGAGGCCAGCAGCTGCCCCATGGCAAAATTTTCCCCAGAAAACATTTGTCCCAACACATTCTCTCACATGCCTACCATCACATGCCCATACACTGGGCATGTATGTACATTCATATATGTGCTCACAAAAGCTTACAGACCATGCTTTTATATGCACACACAAGTATTCACACAGACACAAGTGTACATACAACAGGTGTACTTTCAAACACATATTCCTTGTTACACACATACACATAAAAGCTCACACACAGTTTGCCAGGTCACACATAATAGACCACACATGTACACATACATATGAACACGTGAACATACAGGCTTATAGGCTATATGTTAATTCCACATATGCACATACAACAGGAACCCGCTTTTATACCTGCATACTCACACATATGTACATGTGCACACACGAGTAACCTGGATGTATAATGTACACACACACACACACACACACACACACACACACACACACACACACACACACACACGTAGGCTTCACCCCCTCAAAACACACTTGAATCTTTTTCTCTTTGGCTCTTCCTGATGGGAGCTACCTTGGGAGGGTGCCACAAGAATTAACGATGAATGTTCTAAAATGTTGAGTACTGACTGGGGTGGGAGTTCTTGGTATCTAGGGCTTCCAGGCCACAGTGGTAGAGGGTCCACCTGGAACCCATTGAATTCCCACACTGCCCTCCCCTTGGACTAGCTGGTAGTTGTAGGTGCCAAGAGAGGCTGTGGCTAGGTCAGGGTGAGGGCAGTTCTAGTGCCTACTGAGGTCCAGATCAGTCTTTGCATTGGGTCAGTCTTGGTATTGGCCAGTTCCCAGTGCCCTCCTGTATACATGCCTGCTTCATCATGCCAGGCTGTGATCAGTGTTTTCTGGCTTAACATCTTCCTTTCTGATCTTTTCAATTATGGCCTCTAGGAAGTGCACTCTTGTCTACCAGGGCCAGAATACCTGGGGTGAGGGCCCATCTGCTGTCCTTCACGTGGTCTGGGCAGACCAAGTGTCCTCTAAGCTAGCTGGTATGCTTTCACCTTTATGGGCCTCACTTGAAATCCACACTAGACACTAAATGGGCCTCTTTGGAGGGGACTCTCAGCTGTAGTCAGCCCCAGTCCCGAGACTGGAGAGACATATCCAGGCCCACCTTGTGTCCTTCAGTTTTCTGGGTGTAAGTAGTGCACATAGTAGAGGCTAATACACTTGCCCATGGCTCACACCCCGACACCAACAGGACATGTGGATCTTTGTCTGAAGTCACAACCTCTTGAAATAAACATGAAAAACTTGAACAGTAGGGCCCACAGTAGAGGGACTCAGATGTCTGGGTCACCTTGACCCCAGCAGGGTGGGCTGGGGTTAGAGTGGAGACTCTATACAGAACACCCCTCAAGTCCAGGCTCACATGGCTGGAATGATGTAGTCATCTGCTACCATGATGCGGAGAGACTGGCCTTCCGCTCCCCTGAGACCTCCTAGGGCATAAGATGTAGAGGTCCAAGAAGAGTCTGCAGGTTACTGTGCCCCAGCTGAGCTAAGGAGGCAAGAGCTTCCCAGAGGAGGTATTGTGATGGAAATGAGGGTTTCTAGAGATCCAGGTGCCTCTTCTTTCTGAGGAGTCTTTAGCATGTGCCCAACACATGCCTTAGGCCTTAGGGCTTAGGGGGCCCAGTGGCCCTGTGAATGAATTGGGGCCACAGTTGATGAATTTTGCTTGTCTATGAGGTGGTTCTAGCAGCAGATCTTGGGGGGCACCAGAGGGAAGAGAGAAGGGGTTACACCCTAGTAAGGAGACCCACCAAATGCCTAGCAGTGCCTGGGTTTTAAGTTTGTTCAGAGCTCTGTCATAGATGCTCACCTTGGTGTCCTGGCTGACAGAAGATACTGGGTCTGGCCCATGACCCACCCTGAAGTTCCCCCGGTGTCTAACTCCCTGTCAGAGAAGGGATAGTCCCCAGGCTGTTCTGGGACTCTCAGGCAGGAGTGCACATCGCTAACACCGCACATCCAACTGGGACTGGCTTTTACAAAGTTGTTGCCTTAATGTGTGTTGAGGGAAATTCACCAAGGTCACCCCTGCCTCTGCCTGATACAGACACACTGGACTCCACCTCCAGGTCCTGCTACTGGAGAGGAGTGCTGGCATGATGGGCTGCCACTAGGAGTCCCACGTGGAGGGGCTCAAAGCTGTGACCCCCTTGACATTGTCCATCTGCCTGGGACGGTTCCATATACAGTGCAGCGCACCCTGCGCTTCCAGCCCACCCCTGCCCATTGCAATCTTGTCCCCTGGCCGCAGCTGCGGCTGCAGCTTCCCATCTGCGCTGTTGCCTTTGGCTGTCTTTGCACTTTTGTTCATGCTCCAAAGAATATTTCATAATGCCTTCATACTGATGTGCACCCCGACCATTTTGTACATGCCCTTGGGCCACAGCGAATGGCCTTCTCCTTTTGGCCAGAGTGCCGCCACCTGCACACAACGCTGTCTTCTAGGGATAGACGCCCAGGGAATGAACTCTAGTATTCTAACTGACGAGCTGAGATGCTAACTTGCTCAACATGAACAGAATGGCACTTGTGCTGCGTGAGCGGGCCAATGTGTGCTCGCAGGGAGCTTCGGGCATAATCCCGCAGCAGGGATGCATGCAGATGGTTCTGGAAAGTTTTGCTGCCACAGGGCTAAGTTCAGATGCCCAGTGGACCTGTGCACTTAGTAAAACACAGTGATTCAACTTGGACTGCCTGGCCTCTTCATTTGCATGTGTCTCCTGGCAGCTGGTATAAGGGCTGGGGGTCTAGCTGGGGAGGCAAGGCCACTCAGCACTTCAACTTGGGAGCTCTCAAGTCCCAGGCTCTGTATTTCCTGGGGCTGTTACCTGAGTTGTTAGGGTCAGAGGCTGGGTCCTTTCAGTCTTAACAACCTAGGCTTGGCTACTCATCCTCAATAGGCCAGTCAATCATGAAGGAATAGAAGCAGAAAAAGACTTATTCAATGAGGCCACATAGGGAAGGTAAAGAGGGCAACTCACACCACCCCATCCCCACATACCAAATCCATCTTCAGGGTCTTGCCATTAGGATTAAGTTTAAAGAGGAGGCAAGAGGTATATATGTAACCAAACAGTTTTGGTCAAAGTGTGGCCCTGCCCAGTCTTTAGTCTTTCATCATTCTACTAGAACAGTTACAGGGGCACCTTCAAATAGCCACAAACATGAAGCCATGAAACATCAGACATGCCCCACCCACTTGGGAACCAGTCTGAGTCAGCACAAGTTCTCACCCTCAGGGTAGTGCTCAATTGTCAGGACAGCAGGATCCTGGAACAACAGGTGCCTCTGGTTTGGGCCATCCCATCTGCCCTTCAACAGCGAGCTGGTTTTCATACTGACACTTGCATCCACATGTCATGTCCTGACTCTGTGACCACCTGGGCCAGGAGGGATTTATCTGGCCAAGCTTGATTTGTTGTTGGCACATAGTCTGGGCTCTGATGTCATCCTGGCTACTTTACTGTCCTTGTGTGCCCACCTGCTCTTCTTTTACACCTCACCCCTCCTCTGGCTTCTGTATAGACACTTGGTTGCCTATCCTCTGGCTACCCTGAACCCTAGCACGGTGAGGTGAAGGATAGGTGGACACTCATCCCGTCTGTCTCTCCACTGCCTGAATGTTGGTGGAGCCTGGCTGTAGTGGGTTCTGACCTATAAGTTTGGGGCTTTGCTGTTCTGACCTCTGGAACTGTCACTCCACAGTCCCTCTCTAGGCCTCTAGGGGCAGCTGAACACGAGGAGCAGCTGGACTTGGCTTGGGAATTCCTCAAGGCCCTAGCTGGCCCTAGACAGATGCCCAGAGCTCTTGGAAAAAGACATCCTGCTTCTGCTTTGCAACATGGTATCCAGAGAGTTGATGGGGTCATGTGTTCATGACATTGTGGATGCCAGTGAAGCCTGTTTCTGGGCTGTTATGACCAGTCTGGGTTTGAGAGCAGTTGAGTGGCCTGACTCATGATAGCTTCCACCTTTCTGGGCATGGCCAGTGTCCTGTGCTCCTCTTTCTGGCCATGATCACCTTCCTCTCAGTGGTGCCTGCCTCATTTCTCTGAGCTTAGAGGTCTCTGTGGGATTAGAATTGGAGGTAAGAGTTGGCTGTGATGATTAGGAGAGGCCCAAATAACAAATGGCACTTGCTCACAGAGAGACCACCCCAACATATGGGGGTCTGCTGTCTTGTTGCTCCATTTTGCATGACTTCCTTCTTTAAGGTACCACCTGTCCTAATATGACCGCTGTAATAAGGCCATTACATCTTCATTTCAGTCAGAATATTGGGAAATGGAATCTTTCTCCTAGGTACCAAAACCCTGGTTAATTATTAAGAGAATGGGTAAAGATGACTGGGGGTCACTAGATGTATGTCCTCTTTGAGTGCACCTGATCCATACATCAGAGCCACATGGCCTTGGGTTAGACATTGGCCAATCAGCCAGTGACCATAGACAGAGTAGAGCATAGAGGATGGTTTCCTCGGGTTAGAGCCATACCTGCCCCGGGCACTCTGCAACCTGTTCTGGTCATGGTACCCTGCCCAGAATTCTGTGGTATGCCTATCTTTGTAGGGTAGCAGTATCATCTATCACTCCATCTCATAGAAAGGGAAACCGGGGTATGGGAGCCTAAGAGTCTCTGGTCAGCATGGAAGTGCAGATGCATTCTGGAAAGTTCCTTCAAGGATGGCCATGCTGTGGACATTCTGGGAGTGTCCCCAATTCTCACTGTCACCAGGCAGTCACACTGTGGTGTCTTATTGGTCCCTTAGATAGCTGAAGACCTATGGTTTAGTGGCTTGGTGGTGGGAAAGAATAAGAAGCAGGTCCCTAGACTGAGCCTGGGGCTACATACTATGAGGGATTCCATGGACAGTGGACACCCAGGGATGCTCTTCTTAGGGAAGCAGTGAGCTTGGGCATCCAGGGACAGTGTGTAGGCAGAGAGGAACCCAAGGCCCCAAGACTCTGGCCTTGGGAAGCCACTGCATCCTCGCACCATCTCCTAGGGCATTTTGTGTTTTTCAACTCATGTATGCACCAAGGCTATTTCCCTGACAGTCTTTCTCCTGATGCCTCCTTCCCTCTCCTCTCTTTCATCCATGATCAAGTTTATCCCTTTAGCAGAAGGACCTCATCCAGTTGTCTCAGATGTCCTCTCCCTGGTGACATCAACATCCCACAGGTCTGAAGTAACATCCTATAGGGTGTTTGTGAACCTCTGTACACAAAGCACATATCTGTGCAAAATACACTGTGACCTCAAATTCCACCGAGACCACTAGGTACTTGCCATCACCTGAGAGAGAGGGGTCCCTCATGAGGAGGCACACTTGAAGGGGCCAAATAGGGTGTGTTTGCAGACCAGAAGGGACATGATACATGTGGATAACTGCCAGCCAGGATGGCTTGAGGGACACTGGGGGTTACCTGTCTAGAGGCAGCTGGGGAATGACTCCCTAGGCCTATGATGGGCCAGGCCAGCTGCTAGTGCTTCTCAGGGACAGATGTCCCAGATAGCTTAGGATGTTGGAGTGGAGGCCATGCCCAGAAAGGCCACCAGGTGGCAATGCTCACCAGGAGAAGACTCCTGCCACCAGTTACATATGATCCTGAAGAGCTCTGGACAGACAAATCCAGACTCCTGAAACCTGCCCCTCAGGAAGTCAGGCCAGGCATATCTGCTAACTACTGCCTTTCTCAGCCAGGCTGACAAGGCTTGGTTAGTCACACCAGTTACTAGGGGCCCAAGGGCCAGCAGAGGGCATGGGAGTTGCCAGCTATGGGATTGTGGTAGACTCCAGAAGGTCTAGAAGCATAGTAGATCCTGGATTGTGGGACTTGAGCCTAGACCCTTGAAGTCAATGTGAACCTGAGACAATGAAAGCCCAGTGCCCAGAGCCAGTGCCCAGAAAGGGCCTCTGTGCAAAGCTGGTCAGTACACAATCTTGGACCCCATCCTGACTCTACCCAGAGCACCAAGGCCCAGTCTGTCCTGTGACTTAGGAGGCAAATCTACAGGGTAGGGGCTATTGCCACACCTACCATGGGGGTCTTGAAAGGACCAAGCAGATGCCATAACAGGCTGCTCAATCTTCTCTCAGAGATCAGGCCTCAATTTCAGTTTCCTGAGACTTGAGCAACCAGTTTCTGGGAGAGCCATGAACAAAAGACATAGTCCTTGCAGTAGCTCCCTTTCTGCATGTACTCTGACTGCTCAAGATTCAGCCAGTTGTTTACTGTCTGGGACCCCTCACCAACTTAGAGCTATGTGCATGAGTCAAGGACAGAACCTGGGCCACTGAGTCGGCCCCCACAGTTAGTACGTGCTAGGCCAGCCAGCCTCCATGGCAGCTCAAGGACAGAGCCTGGGACTTGTTCAGGCCTGCCCAAAAAGGATAGCTGTAACCCCCAACCAGTAAATTCAAAGGTTACACACCCTCACTCAATCATATGACACCAAGGCTTGTACCACCCTGCTTACATTTTCTTCCCTTTAAAAACGCCTCACCCTGAGAGCTCAGGGCCGTCCTCCTCCACCTGCTGTGTCGGAGAGTTGGACACGGACCAAGCCTGGGGTGGCTTGTTACCAATAACCCCTGCGTGTTTGCCATCTGGTATCAGCTCTGTGGTGGTCTTGCTTGGGGGTCTCTCGACATAGGCACAGCAGTCTCACTGTAGGAAGTGACATTCTCTTGTCACCCTCAGATCTGGCTCCAGCCCCTTTTGTAGATCCAAACTGGAGGTGAGGGGACAGGTGGGCAGGCCCAATGGGGATCACATGGGGTCTGTCCTCTGTTCTCTCTCATTGTCTGGAGTCAGACACACCTGGATGCCCACACTTTCTGTCTGTCCCAGAGGGCCTCCACCCCTGCCTGTTATGCTCCTCCCCGGGTATTGTACCAGTACTGGTATCCTCCACAGAGCCCAAACTCCACAAGACCCAGCTGGGTCTGTCCTCCGTGGATCCCCACTCCACAGGACTTGACCTCCACAGGACCTGACCTTAAAGTAGCCTAACCTCCTTAGAGCCAGCTGGCTTGACTCCCTTGTGTCCCAAACTTTGGAAAGAAAGCTGTTCCTGGCTTAGTATGCAGATCCTAGCAAGCCAGGGCACTGGGTACTGGGGAGTACAGGGAGTAGGGTGATGGGGTAGGGCTTCTGTCCCTTGAGGCCTAAGAGGTTTTGTGAGTCATCTCTTGGTGCTCCCTAAGTGCCTGGAGACACATGATCCTGTTCACATCTCCCTTATCAGCTTGAATCTCAACCAGAGCTGCTGGCCGCAACTCACCCCTGATTCTGCTACCTCCTAGAACACCAGAGCAATAATGATCGGGCCCAAAGCATGGACCTGTTCACGCAGGGACCGGGAAACTGAGGCCAGGGAATTGGAACAATAAGGTTGTCCAGGGACAACAACTGTCGGGAACAGAAAACCCAGGAGCCCCCTCCTTGTTTGTTCCTGCGATCCTAGGGTCCCTGAAGGGAAGTCCCTACTGCCTCGAGCAGTCATCTCAGGTATGTGTATCCCCTACCCTGTGCAAGGAACGTAGGAGATTTCAGAGAGCAGCAGGCTACGTGAGGAGGTGCTGAATGGGCTCCCACAGCAAGGAACCCTGGGTACACCAAGGTCAACAGGACACATGGTGTACTTCTCAAGCTGCTGGCTTGGAAACCCCACAGCCACTACTGTA